GTAAATCGCTTTCGCTACATCTCTAAACTTGAACCAAGCAATAGCCGCGTTCTTTAATTTGGGCCATACCCTAGAAGCACGTATAGTCTACCAGTGAGCACGACGGACAAATACTGGAGTTCAGTGCTAACTTCACACTCACGACTTGACGGTACGTTACAAGATGACTGTAAACTTTAGATATTGGGAAACTGCCCCGAATAAATATAGGAAGATATTAAATACAAGAATAGATTTAATACTATATATAGAAATTTTGAAAATCAACCCTGAATGAAAAATTAAGTTATGGTTTAAAAGCTAAATGCAATATAAAAATAATTAGTTATTTTCTTTATAGCCACCAATTGTCCATCAGAGAATTGACGCTAGATGGCGTAAATAATAAAATCACGGTTACAGCAAAGGATACATAGATAAATTGTTCCTAAGAACTAGGGATTAGTAAATATTAATTAATTATTTTCGATTAATTATAATTATAATCGAAAATTAATATTTAAAAACAAAATATTGTTTTGATATGTCAATTGTTTGTCAATAATAAATTTAACATAACCAAATTATTTATAATATTCGATACTATTTATGCAGAAAGTATGCGAACAGGTTATATCTGAATTTGGTAGGGTCATACGGCCAATAAAACCAAGTCAGACATATTCTAATGAATTTGACTTCTACGGACTATTTAAAAGGCCATCTGCCTTTTAAATATTTTTCTCTTTATCGTTTTTATGTCTATCCTGCTCTAACGCATTGACAATGCCATAAATACAACGAGTAAGACTTTTTTTTTTTTTATTTTTTTTTTTATTTATTTATTTATTTAACAAAGTATGTTTGTATTAGCACAGAATTTATCATTGCCTCCTACACTAGGCTGAGCCTGTCCTGTAGCAAGCAGTACTCGTGTTATTATATACATGCATATAGATATTAAACATAGGCTTTTTAGCAGTACTCACAATTGTGTAACTAATCTGTATAATACAGTTATTTTATTTATTTATTTTTTCTTTCTCTCACCACCAATACACATGTATAAATAAGTATTATGAATGAGTGTGTGTGCATGCGTGTGTGTGTGGTGTGTCTCTCTCTCTCTCTCTCTCTCTCTCTCTGTGTGTGTGTGTGTGTGTGTGTGTATTTTTGTATGTATGTGACCAGTATTTTCATTTATATGATTAACAAGAGCATGTTTTCAGTATCGTCATAATTCATAGATTTCAGATGTTCGCTTACTTTTGATTTTGTTTCTTTTAGGGTACAGTTCTTTAGATTGTAAATTTTGCAAAATTTATTATATATGAATGGGATCATGCAAGAAGAGAAGCGTCTGGCAAAACTAGTTTTAGTAGTAGGTGTAGGGAGACATTATATGGATTATGCATTCTATCTATTCTATTCCGAAATTTTGGAGTTGCTCTCACTACGATCGCGTATAATTGTTTGACAGTGTAATACGTCCCTAAGATTGTAAATCGTCAAACATTCTCGGGTCGGTTGACTAATGACTCCGGATTACCAGTAGATCGGGCGTCAGCCGACCCCGATATTGATTCTCCTAGTCCCGGATTATGGGTCTCATGGGATTAGTGGACAGTGACTTCCAATAGATTCAAATGGAAATATCTTTACAGAAATATTTACAAACTAGGTGTATCGCGCGGTTTCGTTCGTATTTGTATCGTGATATTGAATAACTTGTAACTTTGCTCAAGTAATGAGTTATGAAATGTAAGTTTTATTTTTAATTCTAACTGGTAGGTCCAGAGATTCAAACAAACAAATGCTATCGCTTTACTATATTAGTGTATATATATATATATATAGACTCAGGTGTTATTCCTCTGTACCTTGTAAATTCACGCCATATCCCACCCTTCAAACTGAAACACAGCCATGCAAACACAACTGCTTCACGGTAGAAACACGAATGGGACAGAGGTACCCAAGCAATCGCCTTTTGTACAAAGTCTCCCTCTGGTAAAGGCATTTATGCATATATGCATTTGGTTAAATTTTGTTTTATTTATGAACATCTATAACTGGCTTTTAATCTTTACTATTTTATTTTACAAAAAAATTTTTAGGTTTTCCTTCAATAAAAAATAAATACATATAAAATTCATAAATTTTCTCATAATATTATTTGTTTGCATATATTTTTTAGTGATTGGCGATTCTCAAAAATTTGATAGATTTACCAAAAAAAAAAATGGCTAAATTAGCAAACCGCTGCCGCGAAGCCCGCCATCGCACCTATTTACTTCTCTAACATCTAACATTTTCCAAACGATGTTTTTTGGGCAAAGGAAAAATGCAAAGATCCCAAACAAAACGAAACACTGACGCGCAATAAATAATGGAAGTTTGCCTCTGACACCCCGCCAAATGAGTATGCCCATCTCTTGTCCTCTGTCTCCATCGCACTTGTGGCCTCGATGTGAATTTTAATGTATCTGTCACTTTCACACGTTGGGGAGGTATTGTTTTGTTTTAATGCATTTGTTGCGTATGCCATTACCGGTTTATTTTTACAAATGTTATATTAAAACCGTTTGTTAATATAAATTCTGTAGTGTTTTAAATATACTAAATTTTTAAATGGCATATACATAAATATGCCGTCTACATAGCCTTGTCATATATTAAATCTATTTTTAATATTCACCATCATTTCAGCAATTAACTGTCTACTATTGAACTGCCAAGCGTAGCAACTACTAGCAAAGGCCTCCCATCAGGCGGTTTGCTAGTAGTTGCTACGCTTGGCAGGCAGATTGGCAACGGCAGTTAGGCTTTTAGAGAGGTTTTAAGAGGTTTTGAGAGTGTTGCCCATCCTTGTACCTTTTATCCTAAATTAAATTAAAAAATAAAATAACGGTTAAATTAAATTCCTTTAGTCGCCTCTTACGAGACCCACAGGAAAGGAAGGGGTGGCCTATTCTACGCTGGGATCATACGGCCATTTAAATATTATTAATTTCATACTAATATTATAAATGTAAAAATGAATTTGTTTGTTTGTTCGTTTGTATGTTATCTTTTAGAATTTTAACGACTTAAGTAATCACTTTAAAATTTGTTATACACATAGGGACTTTATAAGATGAAGGACATAGGATAGTTTTTTATTAGTGAACACGGTTGACCACGCAGACGTAGTCACGGGTAAAAGTCAGTATAATATGTTAGTGTCAGTATAATTTTATAAAATATGATTGAACATATGAAATATTTCTTTTCTATATAGTTTTATCTTTTATATATTTTCTTTTTATATGTGCTTGCTTTACATGAAGCAGCTTTACTCAAGCACATAATGTAATTGTATTGTAACCTAGCTGAATTACAAATGTAACTGTTACTTAAGTTTTTTTTTATGGTTATGATCTGTTTTATGTATCTAATAAATAAATAAATATAAATTTTAGAAACGTTACTGATGAATTCTTTTATTATGAATTATATATATATATATATATATATATATATATATATATATATATATATATATATATATATATATATATATATATATATATATATATATATATATATATATATATACTACTTAGACTGGCAAACAAGCTGACGGCCCACCTGATGTAAAGTGGTAACTATCGCCTATAGACATGAGCAGTACCATGGACATAACAAAGTATACTGTTTCGCCCATGATACCCCCCATGCGTTGCCATTCCTGAGGACTCAGGTGTTATTCCTCTGTACCCAGTAAATTCACGCCATTCATACGCTAGCAAGGTACTAGTTAGGATTGATTGGTAAGGATGAAGTCTCCATGAACCGTGTGGAGGTCACTCTGATACTGTAAACATTGTGGCTTTAAGTCCCCACTAGATAATAAACAAAATTTGTCCATTTTCCGTCCAGCTGTTATAATGACCAATATGTCAGAACTAAAAAAAAAACAATAAGTTACTGCCCATTAATGTTGTGGCACTGACAGTTTGTGTCCCACTTGTGGGACCACACGGCCTTTTCGCGTTGATCCCAATATTATCCGAATCAATAGCTGCAGGGGTTGAATGAGAAATGACCCGCGATTTGGGGGTAATCTTGGAGAGGTTTAGTTGATTTTTTTGCGGTCTTCGTCTGATTAATGGTATCTCAATGCATGGGGTTTGTGAGCGTTTACACTCACTATTTGTCTATACAAATAATAAAATTGTAGATTTTTTTTTATACAACTTAGAATGGCAGACAAGCTGACGGCCCACCTGATGGAAAGTAATAACCGTCGCCTGTAGACATGAGCAGTACCATGGACATAACAGAGTATACTGTTTCGCCCATGATACCCCTCATGCGTTGCCATTCCTCAGGACTCAGGTGTTATTCCTCTGTACCCAGTAAATTCACGCCATATCCCACCCTTCAAACCGAAACACAGCCATGCAAACACAACTGTTTCACGGTTGAAAGACGAATGGGACAGAGGTACCCAAGCAATCGATTTTTGTACAAAGTCTGTCGCTGTCTGTACATAGAAGATATATAAGAAAAAATATTATAGGGGGGCTTTATGAATTCAATAGAACCCAAAATTTTTAGAAGAAGAAGAAACAGTGTCTTCAATCGTAAAAAAAATAATATGGGAGGAAAATGAAATTTAACCTAATACATTACAGAAATATGTCCCGGTATAGAATGGTCCTGGTATAAAATGGTCCCTGTATAGAGTGGTCCCGGTATAGAATAGGCCACCCCTTCCTATCCCGTGGGTGTTGTAAAAGGCGACTAAGGGAGGAAGAGGGATGGGAAGCAGACTTCCTCTTAAAACATCTATAAAAACTTAACTGCGGTTGCCAATCCGTCTGCCAAGCGTGGCAACTACTGGCAAACTTCCCTTATACGGAGGCTCTATTCAGCAATGGACACGACAACCTTTGCCATCTTTGTGGTATAAAAAACATTCTAGCTTAAGGATCAAGTGATTGGTGTAATCTAATGACACTTATTCTTTTTAACAGGTTTGGTTCCAAAACCGCCGGGCGAAATGGAAGAAACGCAAGAAGAGTACCAACGTGTTCAGGTCTCCCGGTGCTTTGCTGCCCTCCCATGGTCTCCCTCCCTTCGGGGCGGGCGACGTTTGCAGTCCTGGGGTGTTCGCTGATAGACCCTGGTCAATGCCTGCTGGTTAGTATACAGAGAGCACCACTGTGTTAGTCAAATTATTCAAATATTATTGTTATTATTAGGACCCCGCGGGTTGGCGAGGCTCGTGCTCAAAATCAGCGATGCAGTGTCCCTGACACTACAGCATAATGCTGAGCACGCACCTCATTTTGCAGGTATTGCGACGCACGCACACATACATTCATTTTGGATGAAACTATTATAATACGATTTGTTTTTTCTTTTTTAATTTTATATACATTGTTTAAATAGAATTTTTTTAACCCCTATGTGGGTGTAGTCGCATACTTACAATATAAAATATTAATAACATATATAAAAAGTGTCCCACACCCGGCAAAAGGAACCAAAAAATTTCTATAGAATAAAGTTTCTTTCTTTCTTTCTTTCTAAATATGACAAACAAGTATACCCGATGCAGCCTTTCTGATGGTAAACAGTTACTGTAAGTCTATGGACGCCTGCAACACTAGGGGTGTCAAGTGCGCGTTGCCGACCCTGAAGGAACATTGATATACCCTTTTTGAAGAACACTATACAGTAATCTTCTTCTAAAATAGGTACCATCTTTTATATATTGTTCAAGAAAGTCGACGTTTATTATTGTGAACTTAATTTGATTTTAACTGTAAGAAAAGTCGGATTAACTTACATGTGTTTTAGTCTAAAATACCAATTTGTTTCGGGACTATCCGGTATCCTAATTGTTAGCAGTCGTATTTTTGTCTAAAGCAACCCTAAAATGAGATCTAAAAACAAAAAAAAAAAAAAGAAAAGGACAGTATTATTTTTTGATACTACTAGATAGGTACAATTGACAATTAATATAAGGAAAATGTTTATTTACATACAAAATAACTTTAGATTATATAGATAGAGCATCGAGTCTCAAAAACGGCTCAACGTTTTCTTAGCTAATTGTCAAATTAGCTGACTCGTTTTTTATCTGTGTTGTAAATACGTGTACTTATGCACATAATGTATGAGTATATTGACGTATCTATATGATATTTAATTATTTAATAAATAAAATGACTTTTTACGCATTAAAAAGATACAAAAATTATAAAACAAAATAAATATAGAAGTTATAAAGGGAACACTCATAACTATTTATCACGCAAAATTGTATAGAAAAGTTGACTCGCTTTTCTCGAAGCATTTGTATGGAGACACTCTATCTATATAATTTAAGGTTGTCGTATTATTAAAAAAAAAAGTAATATATGATATAATTCCAGGTCTCGGCCAGCTGTCACAAGGCGGTGTGTCGATGGGCGGGTTCGGAGCAAGCACACTGCCGCAGCTCGCTGCTGACCTAAATCCTTCACTCCCCATCAGCTCCGTGGCGTCCGGTCAGCCGTATCAGTCACACTATCCTCTTAATTCATTAGGTAAGAGATCTGTTGTTGTCTATCTTGTCTTTTTACATAATCAAACGTGATAAGCAGGGGCGAGAGAATTGCTAGCAATGGAGACTAGTGGGCCCCATTGCTAGCGATATATGTCAGCTTATTTGCCATTCTTATTTACATAAAAAAATATAAGATTTACTGTACATCGTCCGTTTGTTAAACACTGTTTCTTTTGTTATATTTGTCACAATTTTTTCTGTATCTCTTGATGCAAATAAAGAGTTTATCTATGTTTTTTTTTATACAACTTAGAATGACAAACAAGCTGACGGCCCACCTGATGGAAAGTAGTAACCGTCGCCTATAGACATGAACAGTACCATGGACATAGCAGAGTATAATATTTCGCCCATGATACTCCTCACGCGTTGCCATTCCTGAGGACTCAGGTGTTATGCCTCTGTACCCTGTAAATTCACGCCATATCCCACCCTTCAAATCGAAACACAGCCATGCAAATACAACGGTTTTACGGTTGAAACACAAATGAGACAGAGGTACGTAAGCAAACGACATTTGTACAAAGTCTCCCTCTGGTAAGTCTCTATCTATATATTATATATCTTTCAGGGGACACGATGATGTCATATTGTAATAACATAAGTGGGGGCCAACAGTCAGCCGGACCTCTGGAAGGATCCCCAACACCACCCCACATGGCTCACTGCGCCAACAACAATGCTTCACCGACTGCGTCAGGTACTGTTCAAAATCTATACACATAAATTAATAATATATTATATATTAATAAATAAACATTGCTGAACATAGACTTCCCCCATTAGGGGGGGTATATATGTATATTTAAAAAAAAAATATATGAGGAGTTTAATAAAAGTAATAAAAGCCAAAACTATTCATGGGATTTTTATGTCTGACTGTATGTTTGGTTCGGCATCATCAAAAACTATCAACAGTAAAAGGGTCTTATATTTTCACAGAAATATTTCTGAAGATCAAATTTGAAATCTGATCTATATATCTGGTCGGGTTTATATATGTACCTTGATAAGTCTAAAAGTAATTCATTAGTTTTCGTACTTCCCAAATCCATAAGTACGAAGTTTCAAGCAGTCTAGTTTATTATAAAATCTTCTATCTATCCATTTAAGAGCTGCGCTCTTGTCGGTGGAGCTCTTGCCACTCGCTACGATTTTCAGCGAGTCTCATCACCTCTTCACCTATCAAAATCTTATATATAATATATATATATATATATATATATATATATATATATATATATATATATATATATATATATATATTGTATTATAATAATATCAGTAACCGGCGAGCGTGTATGAAAAGATTGATGAATGTGGGAGAAGCGAAAGAGATTTGTTTGAATCGAAGCATTTAACGTTCCATTGTTTCTGCCTACACTAATGGGAGACAGGCGTTATATATGTATTTTGACATACAGTAAACTAATTGCATTATGTTTCATCCTCATTTTATAAGAAAATTAAAACAAAAACTATTTTTGGCGCCCAACGTGTGTCTCAAACATCAAATGTCTCAAACACTTTCTTAAAGTTGTCGTGAGTTATCATTAAAATGACTTTATACTTTAAAAACTATTTATTATGACCAGAAATAAAATCCGGTAACTGACAACAAGAACAATGGTTATATTCACTCTACTAGCTATTTAATTATTTATTTACATTTTATTGCATTATTTAAGAAACAATAAATGCAGTAAATTTCAACGAGAAGTGATACAAAAAGCGGCCTTATCGCTAAGCAATCAATCTATTCCAGAAAACCTAAGTAGAAGACATGGTAAAAAAAAACAAAAAATAGGTGGCGTCCTATTATATAGACACTGATATATACAAACATGTATATATAGTATTTGTATAAACAAATATATACATAAATATACATATAAAAGCATACATATAGTAGCTTGGTACTTATAGTCTTGATTCAAACCGACTATGCAGCAGTATCGAGTACATGCTGGTACCTACCTATAGAGTAGTGAAAATCGCCATTATTCTTTGTTACTTACTGTGTTACCAGCTCGTGTTGAGTTAATTCATTATAAATAATTTAAAACAAGTCATTTTAATGATAGCCTTGTGAAAATACTTAAGGCGTTTGTTTTTCTTTTAATTAAATCTTTATTTTCCACTTGTTTTTGCTGTTTTATTTTTAAACGTACAAAGACCAGGAAAATTTTGAATAAATATATTATATTAGATTACTTTAAAAAAAACAGGATTTTTTTATATAGTAAATTTGGATATTTCATTCATTCTATAGGAAATGGCGGGGAGCAGGTAGAAGAAGAAGTGTGGCGTGGGCACAGCATCGCTGCACTGAGGCGACGAGCTTCAGAACTTTCCGCTGCCATTCCGCCATACCTGCAGTTGAACTACGACGCGCACAGCCCAGTCTACTGACCTAATGGCGGTTCAGCATCTCGTCAGTTTGATAGAACCGCTGTCCGCCATTTCAACGAACTGTCTACACAGTACCATTAATGTATTCTATTCTTAAAATTAGCTGTGTCAAACACCGGACGTCCAATAACTTTCTCTTTGGATTTTCGATATTTTTATTCATGCTAACTTAACCAATTCAACTGAAATGAATAATAATGAAATGAACTGGTAATTTGACATAATTTATAATTCGATCAATGTTTTTTTTTTTTTATAATGACTAACGCAATTATTTACAATAACAATTTTGATGCTTGTCTTTTTTATTGGGAGAACCGTGTTACGCCATTTTGATATTCTAATATAACTGAATTCCGCCATAATAGCGAACTTTGCGTGCACAAAGATATGGTTTTTCAATTGAGAACAAAGGATAAATATATTTTTTTAGAATATTTAAAACATCTTCTATTATTATAATAAAGTACATAACAATAAAAAAAAATGTAAAAAAGCATTTAACGACAATTTTATAATTAATTTTGTTATTTGTCTGAAAAAAAAAAGAAAATTTTAACTAATTTTCACATTTCTCAAATGATGGACATAGCAAAAACTGTAATAGCATGTCTAAAATATCATACATTCTTACGTTTGACCCTAAATGGTCACGTATAGTGTGGTCTCAAAGGAATTTTCTCCTGCGAACGATCAAGCTGTGAAATAAGCTCCCTGCTGAGGTCTTCTCTACCGACTACATAATTACAACATTACCATCAGACAGGCTGAATACTTGTTTGCCACCTTTGTGGTATTAAAAAAAAACATTATATTAAAAAAAAATTTTTTTTTTCCTTGTGCAATCGCGTCAAAGTTCTCGCTGATTATCAGCTGTATATAAATACGTATTTCCACATACAATAATAGTCCCAACACGGTGACGGGGACATTCTCACCGGGACATTTATTTATAGTAAAAAATTGAGCTGTATTCGAGTAAATACATGTATACGCATTCGTACAATAAATAAATTTAAATATTAATGATAATATAAGCTATTTATATCATAAGCGATTATAAAGGTATTAAATAGTTTTTAAAAATTTAGACATTAAAATATCGGTGTATTTATGGGGCTCGTTGGACTGTCATATATATATGATTGTAACTATATTAGTTTATGAAGTTGGAATAGTAAAATAAGGTGACATTGGTTCTTCAATAGCTTGAGATGTAAATCTAGGATATAGCCAAATGAAGTGATTTTGTTGATATGTTATATCTATCTATATAAATTACATATTATTTTTATTCGTAAATATGAAAAAATACCACTTAATTTTAATATAATAAGTAACGAATAAAAAAAAATATTTATGTGGATATCAAAATTAGAACAGATAGATCTTTTTATTAAAAAAAAAAAAACAATTTTTGTTTACTTCGCAATTGTTCGACTAGTTTAAAACTGCATAGTAAAATGCATAAATTACTACAATTGAGTATGACTCACTACAGTCATTATCTAAAAGTTGATTTTTTTCATGTAGTAACATTTTTATATGATGTGACATGATTCTATATATATGATAGTGTTACAAGCCCGTATGCAAGTTTGTGGTAATCCACCATTAGCTTAGGTATTGTTTAAAACATTCCAAATTGATATGTAGGCTAAATTATTGTTACTAAATAAAAGATGATTCAAAATATTGATTCCTTGTTGTTTTTGATAAATAAAAAAAAAATAATAACAAAAAAGCATCAGCATATTTTTTCTAATTTTAAAATGTAGATATTGTGTTATTAAAAATCACAAGGAACAATAACAAGTTTGCATTTAAGTTTGCAATCTACTTGGGAGTGAATGTGATAGCAATATGTATCCCTGTCCCTCTCTCTCTCTCTCTGTATCATAATGCTTTTTACCATCCGATATCGTTTTCCAAATTCAAATCATCTTTATTTAAATAGACTTGTTTACTTGTTTTTTTTTTTTTAATTTAGTTTTTTTTATCTATGCCTGAATACTATATTTTATTTTTCTTTGTCTTTTATTTATTAATTTCACGTTTGTATTTTAAACTAACAAATTTAAAGCTCTATTTATAGTCACTTAATAATTGAATTCCGTGAATAATATTAAGGACTGAATTCTCTCAGTTCTCAGAATTCTAAAATAAGACTTAAGTCCGGAGTTCGGGTCGGAATGATATTTTCTCAAGATCAATAACGAGCATGCGACTCTTTTGGTGTTGTAGGCGTTCGTAGACTATGATAACTATCCGACTAGACGTATGCACGTACAATTTTTTTATGATATATTTTTTATTTTTGATAGACTTTAGTTTATAATTGATGTCACTATTTCATTTTCGAATAACTTCAAAAGGAAGGAGATTTTCAATACAGTTGTTGTTTATTTTTATGTTTGTCACCTCGTAACTCCATCATTTAGAAACTGATTTAATAAATTCTTGTTATATCTGAAAGAATATGCTTAGAGATTGGTCACATAGAAACTTTATCAAATTCGGTCCAGTAGTTTAGTTTTGAAATCAAAATAACACAAAACACACAATCTTGTAATATGACGTGTTTCCGCTAAGAAAGGATTTTCGAAAATTTCAACTTTAACCAACAAAAAGGGGAACACGACATCACGCGGGCACAGCCATGAGAAATAGCTAATATTATATATATATATTTATATTATTCTACTTATACAACTGTATCGTTATATTTGTTAATTGTCTTGCTTATTCCCTATATATATTTATACACACACACACACACACACACACACATATATATATATATATATATATATATATATATATATATATATATATATATATATATATATATATATATATATATATATCGGTTGGTAAAACGCAAACTCCTTCAAATAATATATAACGCTTTATTTCAGAACGTTCCATTTAAAAATTATGATTTGTGTGCATACATGTATGGTTAGTTATAAATTATTTTAATTAAAAAAAATATATTGTCTATGATAGAAACTCCCGGCCATTACTTACTTATTTTTTTTTGTTTGTTTTTTGTTTAAAATTAGTTCAAAGTGGTTGATAAGTTCCTATTTACTTTTTCGCGGTTCGAATGCAATGAGTTTTATATATAATATTATATATATATATATATATATATATACTTTTAAAATAATTTATTGCACGCGTTCTTTCCGTCCGTTATTTTAAAAGTATGTTTAATTTTTCGTGACAATTGTTTTTTGCAATACAATTATATCTCGATAAAATTATTTATTCCTTTATTAACTTTATATCAAGTGTATTATTAAATAAAAAAAAAAAATACAAATGAAAATTACGACGACAAATAAGAAAGAAGAATTTTTGGAAATATCTTTTCTCTTTAAGAAAAAAAAACCTTAAAGTTTTGATAATCTACATTTTAATAATTTGATTCAATAACAAAAAGTATTTAATGCTAGAAGAAATAGCCAATGTTTCGGTCTATTCGGTAGACTATATGCAGCAAACATATCTATCGGTAGACACATTATCGCTACCGCATGCATGAGGTAGAATAAGATAGCAATGTCCGGCATTTTCTTTTCTATGTGTGCTAATGGAAACGTGTCTACCGATAGTTCGCCACTAGAGTACAGGGGTAGTGGAGAAAGCATTTCTCTAGACGCCCGTTTCAAAATTAATAATCACTATGCATGGCGTCATAGTGAGAACGCGTTATCTCTTTTCTTCTTCTACTCCTACTAAAACTACTGTATTATTCCAAGTAGTAAGGTGACTTTCGTCTATGACTCGAAAAGTACATCATTTTAGCCATTTTTAGGTCAAACCCTTGACGTCTGTGACTCTTAACTAGAAATGTACGGCCGGTGTTCGGTCGTCCCTCGAATTGGAGACCGGTAGACAGCAGAGGTCGCCAGTTCGGGGGCCGACCACATACTCCTTTATTGCAGTATCCGGCCGTAGTACCTTCCTAATGCTCCTGAAATATTGCATCTAAACTGCGCCCACCATGTATAGGCATTCCGCCACCTGTATCCAATAGCGAGGACGGGATGCCTTAAATACTGTACCGCAAACCATAAAAAAAAAAAAACTAGAAGTGTATAATTTTTCGTTATTTTAGTATTTTAAAATATCCCAGTTCCTTAAATCTTTAATACGATAAAATAACGATTATTTAGAGGCACTGTTGTCGCGTCTCTAATATGACTAAAGAAATATATATTTTTTTGAAAGATTATTTCTATAAAATAATAGCAGATATAGTACATAACTGCAGTGGCCAGCAACTAAGACATTGATGGACGAACGTGCAAATGTGGGCCGAGGCGTAGTCGAGGCATACATACGTGAGTCCATCAATGCCTAGTTGTGGCCAAGGCTTGTATAGTACTTTTCTCAAACAATGTGCAGAAATCAAAAACACAATTTTACTTTTCAAGTTCAATGAAGAATAACGAACAATAATAATTTTTCACGCGCCATAATGTTCCTTTGTTTTTTTTTTTTCAATAAACAGGCTTTCTATTTGCAAGCCAATTTGAAATTTAAATAAAACCTTTAATTAGTTACCTCCTTGGTAGCCATGTTTCGAAGTAAAAGGTCATTCCATTTTTAAATTACAGGACAGATATGAGTTTACATAGTAATTTATCTGGCCGCAAAACACGACAGATATGGATTTTTATACAACTTTTGCCGGCCGCTACCCGCATGTATCTGGCCAGTACGGCAATTTTGATTTATCTCGAAGAAGATTGTCAAAATAATGCTCACATTTCCAAGCATGTTTGAGAAAAACATATTTGAAAGTCACAGAATTCACGTTTCTAAATTGATTAAAAATACCTAATGCATTTTTAGAACCACACACATTACTTCACAAAAATAACCTAAGAATTTTAGAATCACAAATGTCACGTCATTAAAGGACTAAAAAATAAGTATTTGACTCTAGTCACAAAAGTGACGTCTCTGAAACGATTAAAGAATGACTTATTATTGGTGTTACAGACGTCACCTTGCTACTTGGGTATTGTAACCCAGGTGGTAATTATTCGTCATGTTGACGTCAATTTACAGTCACCGACCATAATTAAAATGACTTAAAACTGACGTCTTATGGGAGTCGCAGACGTCACCTTGCTACCTGGGAGTTACTGCAATTTTCATTCTTTTTATCGGTAATAATGATGGACTGAGTGAATATTAGTATAGAGTGTATTTAGTAAGTGATTACTATGTTTCGCTCGCCCCTAATAACTGTATAGCCTACTTTTAGACATTATGTTAGTTTATAAGTATTACTATACACAATAAATAGACAATGTTCATTTTTGTCGTTTCATTTTATTAGTGGATAGTGAATGTTTCCTTGTTTTATTTCTTTTTTGTGTAATAAAAATATTATTTTTCCTATTTGAGATTTTGTTTTTTTTTGTTCGTTAACCTATTAATGGTAGGTAAGAAGTTTAAAGAAAAAAAAAACTATGTGATCCACCGATATGATTGGGATAAATAAATAATTTTTAGTTGTATCTATTATTTTGAATAAATCAGTTCTATATAAATTCTTTAGCCTCAACTTTTTTAGTTTTTTTCAAGAGTAAATAAATAATAAAAGAAAATGCGTTAATAATAAAAAAAAAACTGCGTTTTAAATTTACAGTGGAAGATAATTTGTATAAATATCCATTATTTTTTATCTGCAATAGGACTATGCAGTACTGTAGATAGATAAAAAAAAAGAGACAAAAGAATAAATATACAAGAAAAAGACATAACGAAAATACATAAAAAAGTAACAATTTTTTAGTTCGTGCGTGCGCCACAGTAATACAAAATGATCACAACTCAATTTATTGCTTTGCTCTCAAAAGAACAAAACACTGATTCTCTGTTGTAGCCAAAATGTATGTAATTTATTATTGACCTAAAAAGAAACCATCATAAATAATTACAATAGGTACATATCGTTTTTGTTCAACAACAATATATACCTGTTATTTTTTATATGATTCTGAATTAAGGAATTGTAAAATAATTAATTCTCCCAGTTTTGTTAAGTATCAGTAAGTTTTAGGTAATTAGTAAAAAACAGATTAGGGATAGTATTATTTTACTTACAAAAGAAGTGCCGGCTACTGGCCAGTCCGGCTGAATACGTTGCGTTCCTTTACTCAAAGAAACAATTTTGCGCGCCAAAACTATAATTTGTGGTACGTAAATAAAAAAGTTTTAGTTCCAATTTTAAATCATCTTAATAGAAAAAAAAATGCTTAAGTAAATACCAAATAAAGGCGTATTTATATTGTGCGTAAATATTTGAGAATGAATTATTTATTGTGTTAAAATTGAGTTTGAAGACACATGAGTAGAATGTAAATACTGAAGCAGATTGAAATGTAAGTACAAAAATATTATTTTACTTTAACACTTGTAATAATTATGTAGGTATTATAATTTTAAATATATGGAGGCAATGAGAATTTTTTTAATAGCGGCCCGCTACTAAAATTGATTAATTGCTGTTGTCAACCTGCCTGCCAAGCGTGGCAACTACTGACAAAATCTCCCAATAGGGGGAGACCTGTGTTCAATAGTGGACAATTAACGGCTGATATGGTGTGGTAAAATTGAAAAAGTTTACGCTCAAATTTCTTGTTCATCTTGGATATTATAACGCCATCTAACGATGAATCGTGTTCAAACTTAGAAAAGTAAGTATGATATGAAGATAGTTAGTTAGTGGGCCAAAATTCTAGTGTCAATAATTTAATAAAAATATCTAAAAACAAAGAGATAATAATTTTTTTAACAGTGTATTCAGTTTTAGTTTTGTATCAACAGCGACATCTGTTACATAATGATACAACTACAATTATTATATATAGTGTACAAATAGTTTATCTATTACACACTAGATGGCACAAAATCAAAAATAATTTTAAAATTTTTGTTGATAAGCAATACCTATTGATTCAACAAGTACATTTCATTATCTTCATAGTTTACTAGGTTCATATAACATTTAAGAATGTCTATAAAATCTCAGAAGTCGTTGAATGACGAGTGTTCTGAAATAATTGAAAAGAGTTATTCGGTTAGAAGTGCGTCAGAAGAAAGCCTGTCATGGTTTGTTTTTGTTTTATAAATTTGCTAGTTTTAGGCACAACTTCGTTTAAAAAAATATATATATAATACACATCGTTTAAAAATGTTAAAATATCGTTCCTATGTACTTTTTTGGTAGGATTTATTACGAACGAAATGTTAAATAAAAACATGAAATTGAGTCCAAAAATTCGGAATTTCATTTCATGGTAGACCTCCAGGTTTGTTGGGCCACATCGTGACGAATTTACCAAAAAATAATTAACCGCGATGCTTTACAAGAGGACTATGTAGAAGTAATAAGACCTTAATAAGTAATCCAACTGTTCCAGTGAAGACGAGGTCGAAGGTTTGGCTCGTGAGCTGATGAGGAAGATGACGCCAGCCGTGCTGAGCAAGCTGAGGAGGGTGTTCAGGAAGAACAAGGACAAGAACCATTCAAGGGATATTGACAGGTGACTCTTTAGATGGAAAAAAAATAAAAATATATTTTTTAGAATTTTCAACCGAATTACAAAAGAAGGAGGTTCTAAATTCGGTTGTATTATTATATGTTTGAGACCGAGTAATAAGTTTTTTTTTTTTTTAATATTTAAAATTATATATTTTAAATTGGTCCTACAGAAATTTTATCAAAATAGATTTAATAGCTTTTATGTCGAAATAACTGGTTTTGTTCACAATTGAAGTAAATTAGGACACAGTCTTTAATCATGTCTTTTCTTGCTTGTTTATTATTATTTAATGACTTTAATTAAAAACTACTAAACTGTTCTAGAAAAAGAATTAGTGAAGCGAGAGTCGTACACAAAATTTGTAAATAGGATTTTTTTTATACAACATAGAATGGCAAACAAGCTGACGGCCCAACTGATGGAAAGTAGTAACCGTCGCCTACATACATGAGCAGTACCATGGACATAACAGAGTATACTGTTTGGCCTATTATACCACCCATGCGTTGTCATTCCTGAGGACTCAGGTGTTATTCCTCTATACCCAGTAAATTCACGCCATATCCCACCCTTCAAACCGAAACACAGCCATGCAAACACAACTGCTTCATGGTTGAAACACGAATGGAACAGAGGTACGCAAGCAATCGACTTTTGTACAAAGTCTCCCTCTGGTATCTTCTTTAGATAAGAAAGTTTTTCAATTTATAAATATGATTTGATCATGTTCTTGTCTATAGACGTGTTTATAAGTAATCTGGGATAAGTCAAGTACTCTTTTGGATAACGTAGCATTTATTATTATTATATCATCCATTACCTGTCCATTGCTGAAACTTTTCCTTGGAGAGCTTCGCCAGTAGTTGCCATACTTGGCAGGCGGGTTGACAAGCGTAAGTTAAAAAAAGTTAGGCCTTCGCGACGTTTTAAGAGAAACGCTGCTGCTCGTCCCTCAAACATTATGTACTCTAGTCTCACTCTAGCCGACTCTTACGACACCCATGGGAAAGGAAGTGGTGGCCTATTCTATGCCGGGACCATATGCAAGGGAGCTTATAAACTGCAAATGAATTGTAGAAAAGTGGAGGAGGTGATGAAAGCGGCTGCAGCCGAGGAAGGAATACAGTTTGCGACCTCCGCTCCCCAGCCGGAGGACACGCTCTGGCTTGACGAAAACGGATTCGTGAGCGCAATCGACACCATTTTTGGTAAGTTATTTATTATCTACTAGCAGCCCGTCCCGGCGTCGCACGGGTGGACATTTTTACATTTTAAAAAGAGGCCATTAAGGCTGCACACGCGACGGAAGCTTAAAAATGGAGTAACTTCTTCCGTTTTCCCAACATTTCCCTTCACTACTCTGCTCCTATTGATCGTAGCGTGATGAATATTATACTATACCTAACCTGTCCAGGAGTATGAAGAATAATTGTACCAAGTTTCGTTAAAATCCGTCGAGTAGTTTTTGTTTCTATAACGAGCATACAGACAGACAGACAAAAATTTTACTGATTGCATTTTCGGCATCAGTGTCGATCACTAATCACCCCCTGATAGTTATTTTGGAAATATATTTCATGTACAGAATTGACTTCTCTACAGATTTATTATAAGAATAGATATATAAATAGATAAGTAATTTTATTTCTACGTAGCGTCTTGCCTGCTACTTCTTACACGTGGAATTGAGAAGAAAATAATATATGTTGGTTTACCATTTTTGTGGTATAAAAATTAAAAAAAATATAGAATTGGTTACAAGGACAGATTATGTCTGTAGTTAAAAACAGAATACTTTCCCTATTCCTATCAGTCTTTACCTGTCCATTGCTGAACATAAGTCTCGCCCTTGGAGGGGTTTTGACAGTAGTTGCCATGCTTGGCAGGCGGATCGGTAAAGGCTTTAGATATGTTTTAAGAGGGACGTTGCTGCCTATCCCTCACCCTCCCTTAGTCGCCTCTTATGACACCCACGGTAAAGGAAGGGGTGGTCCATTCTATGCCGGGGCCTACATGGCGAAACATAAGAATAATAAAGAAGAATTATTAAAACAATTATTAAAATTATTAAAACATTGTGCACATAGAATCAGGTAATTATTAATTATAGAATTTATGATAAATATTATGGCCCTCGCCCTCCCTTAGTCGCCTCTTACGGCACCCACGGGAAAGGAAGGTATGGCCTATTCTATACTGGTGCTCAGCTAGTATATACCAATAACGCAGGTGGGGTTATCATTCCATTTTCACCCATTAAACAAAAACAACTATATTCTTTTAGCCATGTGGTCCCGGCATAGAATAGCCCATCCCTTCCTTTAAGTAAGGTGTAAGTAAGAGGCGACTAAGGGAACTTATTGATGGGATATATGAGGGGATGGGCAGCAGTGGCCCTCTTAAAATGACACCAAAACCTAACTGCGGTTGACAATCCTTTCTATTTGTTCTCCTTTAACATAAGGTTTTCTGTAAGAGATTTCCCTAGCGATAAAATCACTTCTAGAACCTTTATGTATATATTTGAATCTGTATTTACGTTACTGTATTTCACTTAAATTGTTCAATTGTCATTGTATATTTTTATGTATCTGGTGCAATAAAGAGTTACATAAAAAAAAATTCGATTCCCAAGCGTGACAACTACTGGAAAACCCCTCCAAAGGAGAGGCCTATGCCCAACAGTGGACAGTCAACAACCGATATGACTATATTCTTTTGATCAGTTGCGTAACTTGGACGTGTGAATGAAGACAAAAGTAAAGTATTTAACTAAAGATTAATGTACACCACCAGGTCATCATAAATACAATACGCATGCGCACAAACTATTTCAACTCCTCGATGCATTCAACACCGGCAAGATATGGTGGCGGCAGCTCATCAACCGGCTCGTCATGGTCGGAGCCAAGAAAACCAGCTCCAGGGCTGAAGTATGGAAACCGGCTAAGGAGAAGCAAACGAGAAGAATGGAGCACTGTAAAGTAAGTCTCTATAGGACAGGACTGGCCGACTTGACTAGACCCAAGATCTTCTGTTTACTGACGAAGCCTTGTGCGATCTACCAATTGCATACTTCTTGAAATCTCAAATGAAACAACATAGTTCACTACACAATTATGTAGTATTGTAGTATTTTTTATTTTATTAAGAGGGAAAACATAAAACTGAAAATTGTTCTTAGTAACAACTTATTTATATTAGTGTGAGCATTGGGTCTAAGCATCTTCACCAGAGGGAGACTTTGTACAAAAGTCGATTGCTTGGGTACCTCTGTCCTATTCGTGTTTCAACCGTGAAGCAGTTGTGTTTGCATGGCCGTGTTTCGGTTTGAAGGGTGGGATATGGCAGTGAATTTACAGGGTACAGAGGAATAATACTTGAGTCCTCAGGAATGGTAACACATGGGTGGTATCATGGGCGAAATAGTTTACTCTGTTATGTCCATGGTACTGCTCATGTCTACAGGCGACGGTTACCACTTTCCATCAGGTGGGCCGTCAGCTTGTTTGCCATTCTAAGTTGTATAAAAAAAAATCTTCCGCTAGATTAGCAAAATATTATAATGTTTGCTTCGCCACGATCGACTGGACTAATAGTCGCTATCGATCGGTTGGCCACCCCTGTAGTTCTTTGATACCGAATTATCTTGTATATACATATATTTACAATCTTTTTGATACTATTGAGCTCATCATTTACAATATTATAATACTATTGAGCTCATCTGATGATGAAGACAGAAGGTAGCCGTACGCAGGGTGGCCCATAAGTCCTTAGTAATGAAAAAAATTAATTAAAATAAAACTAATTACACTATGAATAATATTTTTATTTGTAAATATAGCTAGAAAAACGGGAATTATTTTTTGTAAATAACGTCGTCCAAATGTAATCCGTTACAGTCACGGCACTCTTGCAAACGCCTTCTGAAATTGTCGATGACTGCGCGGCACGTCACTGCTGAAATGCTTGCCATTTCTCTGCGGATGTTTTCTTTTAGGTCATTAATTGACCGCGGGTTAGAGTCGTACACTTTAGCCTTAAGGTAGCCCCACAAAAAAAAATCCATTGGAGTCAGATCCGGGCTACGTGGTGGCCAGGAAATGTCTCCTCTCTTAGAGATAACTTTGTTTGGAAAAAGTTGACGGATAACGGGCATAGCAGTATTGGAGGTGTGGGAAGTTGCTCCATCCTGTTGAAACCATGTTCGGGCATTAAAGCCTGGAAAGTTTTGCAATTTTTGTGTGAAAAACTCCTCGATCATGGCCACATATCGCTCCGAAGTAACAGTAACAGCACGCCCTCTGCCGTCCTCAAAAAAGTAAGGCCCTATGATGCCATGGGCTGACATAGCGGCCCAAACTGTAACTTTAGGGCTATGTAAGGGCTTCTGGTGTTTAAGTTTTGGATTAATCGGGCTCCAATAGCGGCAATTTTGTTTACTAACATGTCCGTTAATGTGGAAGTGTGCCTCATCAGAGAACATTATGTTATTGAACGAAGTAAACCGATTAAACATTTCATTAGCATAATTCACTCTCTGAATAGCATCAGTTTCTTTTAATTCTTGCACCAACTGAATTTTGTAAGGGTGCATAAGTAAATCTTTCTTCAAAATCCGTTGTAACGATGTCCTGGATACGTTTAATGCACTGGAACGCTTACGAGTTGACTGTGTAGGATTTTCACGAATAGATTGTGCCACTGTGTCGATGTTTTGTTCCGTACGTGATGTCCTTGGGCGACCCAACCGCGGTTTATCTAACGTCGAACCGGTCTCCTCGAACTTAGCAACCCAATTCTTAATCGTTTGGAGAGCTGGGGTGTCATCAAAGTTGTGTAAACCTTTGTGTTCTCGAAATTTACGCCTCGCAACGGTTGCCGAATTGTTGTTTTGATAAAACTCGCGCACATAAAACGCACGGTCCGCTCCGATGAAACGCTCCATCGCGACTAAATTCCCAGAAACCGAAGTTACTGTCCCCGCTTCCCCTGCACCGCTCACGCGCGCCGTTTTCGTTTAATTCAAATTTTACTTTTCTAAGGACTTTTGGGCCACCCTGTACCTAAATCCATGGTGTTTGGCCGTGTTTGACTTTCCTGGACAAAAACTATAAACCTGTGTTGTGCTCAAAGTCTGATGAGGAAACCTAAAGACTATAGAAGGTTTATTTAAAACAGACTTATTCTCTTCTAGAGGGAAACTATAGTGAAATTAATTAGCGTGGAAAGGGAAGACTCCTTCTGTTACGTATCTGTTTCGAGGGGTGGCAGGATTGGCGTTTACAGCGGACATTTACAACTTATGAACTCATACGAGGTGAGATACCCCTGTATCTATGGTTTTTTAGTAATATTGCTAACTAATTTGTCTAGTTTGCTTAAAAGTTGTCACAATATTGTACACCGCTCTACCCGCTGACATTGATCCTTCTTTCCACTTTGGGTTTACTGGAAGAAAACTCTATTCGAGTTAAGCTCGCCTTTATACATTTGATTACCTCTGTCATATTCTTATAATTGGTGTGTACAATAAAGAATTAAATAAATAAATAATATACCATTATAATGTATATAATAACGATAGGGACAATAACGGGCCATTGTCCATTAAACAAACATTTATACACAATAGGAGCCACAGACAGCCCTCTATGTCGAGGCTGTTTTGACGCCGAAGAAACGGCTGCTCACGTAATCCTGGAATGTGAGGCTGTGGCCCATCAACGTTTAGAAATCCTCGGAACGGTGAGGTCGCTCTGTAAGGCCTGTGAAGGTCCCAGGAAGCTTCTGCGCTTCTGGGCGGAGTTAGGTTGGCTGTACTAGCCACGACTCATATGAACAACGGCCCAAATGAGAGGCTAAGCGCGGAAAATAGAGTCCTTTTCACATTCACATTCACAATGCATATAATATATGTTTATCAATGCAGGTGTTCTATCACAGAACAGGTGTACGGAGACGAATTAAAAATTGTTGGATAACTGACGCTGTGTATTTGAATGTAAGTAATTTTAAAATATCACTTGATTTAGAAATATTAGTACGCACGTACGTTTTTTTTATGCAACTTTGATTGGCAAACAAGCCGACGGATCACCTGATAGAAAGTGATAACCGTCGCCTATAGACATGAGCAATTCTATGGACATAACAGAGTATACTGTTTCGTCCATGATACCCCCATGCGTTGCCATTCTTAAAGACTCAAGTGTTATTCCTCTGTACCCTGTAAATTCACGCCATATCCCACCCTTCAAACCGAAACACAGCCATGCAAACACAACTGCTTCACGGTTGAAACACGAATAGGACAGAGGTGCTCAAACAAACGACTTTTGTACAAAGTCTACATCTGGTAAATTCTGAACGTATATAAAAATTATGAAAGCTCTTAAACTATTTTTTTTTAAATTGAGTATTGATTAATATTGAATACTTCGTAATGTCAGTTTGATCATTAGTTTAAACTATATTTCTTTATTTTTATATCACGAAAGTAGCAAATAAGTATACAGCTCGTCTGATGATAAACGGTTACTGTAGCAAAGCAAATTCCACAGCTTAAGCGTTCGCAAGCGAAAATTCTATTAAAACCGCACTGTACGTGACCATTTAAATTCAAGCGTGTGAGGATGATATCTCTTTTATTGAATTCGCCATGATGACCTGACTTTATCTACAACTGCCATTGTATACCGTTGACATAGGCGAGACCAACTGACTTACTTTTAGTCTCACCTATCGTGGGTCATTCATTGGTGCCACGCCAGTGTATATCAACAGTGCAGCCGGGGTTATCATTCCATTCTCATCCATTAGAAAAAATCATTATATTTTCTTCCATTAAAAAAAAACTTAAATTTCAGGATGTCCAGAGTCTCATCCTGTCAGCATCAGACCGCAGCCTCATGGTATACGATGCAACCACACTGACGCACACTCCAGTATATTGCATCACTGGTATACCAAATATACCTACGGTAAATAGAACAAACCAAATAACACAACTACTCTTTCCTATATTACCTATCGAATTGAATAATTACTATTACCAGAAGCTTCAAAACATTCAATATTAGCCATCAATCTCCGATTGTAATTTCGTCTCCGCAGGTTTTGCTATACGTGTTTCATCTCTAAACGAGTCATCTTTTCTTTTTATACAACTTAGAATGGCAAACAATCTGACGGCCAACCTGATGGAAAGTGGTAACCGTCCCTTTTAGACATGAGCAGTACCATGGACATAACAGAGTACACTGTTTCGCCCATGATACCCCCCATGCGTTGCTATTCCTGAGAACTCAGATGTTATTCCTCTGTACCCTGTAAATTCACGCCATATCCCACCCTTCAAACTGAAACACAGCCATGCAAACACAATTGCTTTACGAAATTCTTCTGGCGAATTAAAAAAATACTGCTCGGTGTCTAATGTTCACCTATCGCAGTTTGGGTGCCGAACGGATAAGACTAGGCTCCGAGTCTATTAATTTGTCTGAAGTTTCTGTGGAAGATTCTAGAACTTCTAGTAATGAAAACAGGATTAGATCTTCGAGATCGAAACATAATAATTCTTATCAAATAACCCATGATATTGACTTTCGCAAGATAGATAGATGCTCTTTATTGTTTCTTCCAAAAGATTACAGTAGTTTTTATATAAATAGATACAAACAATTTCAAGAAATGTTCACACTGATAAAACAATGGCCAAAAGCGATCTCTTCAAGGCAACCTTTGGACGGAGAGGAACAGTAACACCTAGTTCATTAAAGTAGATATCATGTTCAGAGTGATGGTGGTAGGATATCACGCTGGATTCAAATAAAGATATAGACATAAAGTGTTACGGTCACCACAAAGACAACAAGTTATATAGGTTATTAGAATTATGGGATGCTAATGGTATGGTAACCCTGCCTGCGTTATCGGTATACGCTGGCGAAGCACTAGTGAGAGGTGATAGGTGAGGATGATCCTTCATGACGAATTCAGCAGGAATTGACTGCCATATTTTTCAAGGAGACTACGTGGAGGTTAACCTGAGAGGGTTCATAAACATATTTATATATTTATTGTGTAATAAAAGTCAATTTTTTAATGAAAAACAGCATATCCTATAAAAAAACAACTTCTATTATGATAAAACCAGTTATATTGATCGAATAATTACTAAACCGATTTTGTTAAAATTTATATGGGACCAATCTATAAAATATATATTTTCCAAATTCGTTTACAGCAAGTAACGGAGTTATGAGGTAACAAACAGAAAAAATATAACCGACTTAAGAAACTCATTCTTTTTTAAGTCGGTTAAAAATTTTTTTAGATATTGACAGCAGTGTTTTTATATTCAGTGCCTAGCGTACACTTCTTCGTCAGCTATGGGCGACGGTTCAGAACTGGTGTTCGGTACCGAGCGTGGTGACTTGACCAGGATCCAGTTCCTGCAGCCAAGGGTCTCGTTGTTCTATTGTAAAACGCCTGAAAACATTAACTATTACTTTTGGATGGTAATTATAACTTTAACGTACTATTTTTTTTATACCACTAAGGTGGCAAACAAGTATACGGCCCACCTGACAGTAAGTGGTTACCGTAGCCTATGAACGCCTGTAATACCAAAATCATTACGCGCACGTTGCCGACCCGACCGAAAATCTCGACAGAGAGCTTATTCCGTAACCTGACCGTTTTTTTTTTTGATGGGTGGAAATGGAATGGTAACCCCGCCTGCGCTAACGGGATACCCTGGCGGAACACCAGTGAAGGGTGATCGATGAGAATAAAAACAGGCCAGTTAGCCCATCATGATGAATTCATCAGGAATTAACCATGATAGTTTCCAGGGGGAACCGCGAGGAGGTCGACCTGGTTGGGTATATTACTAGCAATGGGATTCTCAGTCTCCATTACTAATAATTCCTTTCCCCCCAACCTGTTTGTGGGAGGAAATATCTTTGAAACCGCGCCAAATCGTACTAACCATATAAAAGATTGATATATGTGGAAAAAAGGAAGGAGGTCGGTTTGAATCAAAGTATGTATTTGGCGTTCCATGGCTTCTATCTTGGAGACAGGCATGACAGATATCGTCATAGTCTTAGAATATTGACGGATCTGACAAAGATTACATATAAAGATCCGTCAGTATTCTACGACTATGACGATATGTATGTATAAGCAAACACTGTTTACGAAATATCCAATACTAGACTAAAACCCTCCATTCTGCCATCAGGAGCTCCCGTCTCCTCCTCACACGCCGTACTGTAGTATAACGACATGGCGTCGAGTACACTCCCGTAGCGTACGACGCGTGACATACACCAGGAATGGTGATATCGTAATGTCCTGCTCACACGACTCTAGTGTGAGCGTGAGAGCAAGACATGTCCCAGGGAAGCTGGATGATTATACCTTCAAGGTCCAAAGGGTATGTTACTTATAAAATTTATAGATTTCCAAAAAGAGTTTGCTAAACAATTTAGAATGGCAGACAAGCTGACCATCTGTTGGAAAGTGGTAACTGTTGCGTATAGATACGAACAATACCATGAACCTATGTACTATGGTGTTATGCTTCTATCTTGTAATTTCACTGCTGTATCCATGCAAGCACAAATACTTTATAACAGAAACATGAATGGAACAGAGTTATCCAAGCAGATATCTTTTGTATAGTCATCTGCTTGGATATTGCTCCTTTTGGTGAATATCAGTCTTTGGTAAATTATAAGGATGCTGATAAGAAAGTCCGTGGATGCAAGTGATACAGGACCGTTCCCTATGGCAGTCTATGGGTAAGACCTATAATCAGCAGTGGATAGTTAAATGTTGACATAATTATGATGGATTTTTATGTGTGCAGTGCACAGACAGTGGTTGAGATGATGATAAAGATAAAGGATCCTGATGACGAATGATTTCAATATTACCTGTACATAGGGTGTGACCTGCTTCCACGTAGTATCATCACTGCATTTGCTCGTGACCGGGAGTTGTGATGGTATTGTGCGGTTGTGGGAGACCACACAATCGACACCATACTCCACCCTGGCGACACCGACAGCGGCTGCCGTGCTGGATGTAGCCGTGGTCGCTTCAGAGGAGATTGTTTTGGCGTACTGTAACAATTGTGTGAGTAAATTACAAGGAACAAGTGTGTTATCACTTTACTGACTGGGTATTTCGTCATAATTGAAACCTTTGGAATTAAACTAACATTGTGACAAAAGTTTAAATACAAGGAAAAGTAATTTTTTGATCATAAACGCTTTGTAATCCAAACGGTGTTGCCCATCATGGTAAGAGGACGTATCTACACGCTAGTAAAATGACGAGTTAACTCATTACCGGTCAGCAAGGTGTTAAGGCAATTATTATTATATTTAGAAAATGAATGCAATCAAATGCATTTCCAAAAGGATTGAAATCAGGCAACCAAACTGGTTGGCGTAAAGCCAATAGCCGAAATCTTGGGTTAAAACATATTACGCCAACCTCAAATAAGAGCAGGAAGACATTGATATTACTATTTACATGATAAAAAGTTGAATACTTTTGAGGAAGAATCTGTTTGGGGATACTCTAATGTTTTATAAGATTGTATGGAGAGAACGGATATAAGCAACGCGTGGTCATATTTATGAATAAATTTTAAGAGGTCAGTTCAGCATTGGATACTAGATTGGTTCTAATGAAGTCGTTGTTGATGATAATGATGATGATGCTAATTATTCTTATATATTTCAGACCATCCACATTTGGGACATGTACGAGGAGTGTCTATTGCAATCCATCAAGTTGAAATACCCTTTCCTCGGTGTGCTCGGGAAGAAGGTTGAGTTTGGAGCATTCTGTATTCATCCTGGTAAGTAATTTGAGTCGCATCTAATTTGCTATTAATCATCATTATTTCGGCTATTATTTGTTCACAGCTGAATATAGGCTTTTCCCATAGACTGCCATAAGGAACGATCCTGAGCCACCTGTATCCATTGATACTTATAGTCAATCTGGCACCCCTGGAGGGATTGTAATACCGCCCATATCGTCATAGTCGTAGAATACTGACTTTATATGTAATCTTTGTCAGATCCGTCAGTATTCTATGAATATGACGATATCTCGACTGAATCAAAAGCTTTCTCATAGTCCACAAACGCCAGATATTATTCATATAAGGAAAAAATAGCTACATATGAAGAATACCATAAGAATCACAATGCGTTCTGCTATCATCCTTGACATTGTTCACGTTCTATAGGCGACTGTTATGACTTTCCATTAGTTGAGCCATTAGCTTGTTACCCAATCTAAGTATCATAAAAGAATGTAGCTATAATATAATATATTTATATATAATATATATAATATAAAATTATATATATTATATATAAATATAATATATATAATTTTGTTAAAAACATGCTAAATCTTTCGGCTTCGCGACCGCGTAAATCAGTACGTAAAATATCTTATATGCGAAGTAAGTATACGCATACGTAAATTATGTACATACCAAATTTCATTCAAATACGAGATTGCCTGATCAGCTATGATCACTATGTCCATTATCCATCTATGTCCGCCCACTGTGCACTTTTTATTATAACAGATTTTGATTTGTTAATCTTTGTCGGGTGCCCACGATACAGGTTCGCCTAGTGTGAGGCCCATTGTAACATGTGTTTGTGACTTTGTGTTTTTGTCAAATAATAAATTTCTATTCTATTCTATTAATCCGTTCAGTTCAAAGTACTATACAGGAAAGAGTAATTCATCCATTTATCCATCCATCTCTTCATTTATTCTTACAAACTTGGCATTAATTAATAGGATATCTAAATACTTCGTTCCAGGTCCAGCGCGAAAAAAACTATCAGAGGCTGAAACACCAGTTGAGGTTCCACTGGAGGTGATGTCCCGACGGGGATCGAGCGTGTACCAGGGGTCCACAGGCGGGCTCATGCTGCAGCAAGAGTCCGAGGACAGCTGGCAGAATCGGGGACTGGAGCAGGAACGGTAATAATTTAATTACTCTTTATCCGCGACTTCGTCTGCATGAGTGCGATGACTGGCATAAATGAATGTCATTATATCTATGTGGGATTGGATGTTTCTAGAAGGCGTGTGAAAGGAACAGTAATGAGAGTAAAGATGATGAGTGAAAGAGATGCATGATACAAGTATGATTGGTCGACGAATGAATGGAACAAGATGGCGTTACGATTCGACTCCTGTAAAAGAACTGTGGAACAAATAAATTTATAAAAATTGAATATAGTCTGATTTTCCGCCCACGACTTCCCACATCTAATATAATGAAATTGTAACTAGAAGTCTGTACATGAGAGATAATTAAGAAAAAAACTTATAGAATTTATAAGATAATTAAGGGTTTTTATAAAAGTCAACTCCCTGTAGTAAATGGTAATAAATCGTCTTGATCTTGTATCGTCAACTTTACTTTGGCAACTGCTAAATAAGTAAAACTTTGATTGGCAGAGAATACGCCCGCTTCAATCGACCGGAACTCCTCATCACTTGCTGCGACTATGTATGTATACTTACGATCAAGGATAGAGAAGAATTGGGGACCATACTCCCCCCACCTGGGGACACGCTTCGAGCGAGAAGACCTTCGATATGGGAGCTACCCGATGACGTGCTTTCTGGTAAGTTTCATAAATTTTCTTATGAAACTTAAGGTGGTAAACGGGCTGATGACCCACCTGATAGAAAGTGATTATCGTCGCTTGTAGATGATGATGTAAATGATAGATGAACAGCACCGTAAATATTGCTGAGTACAATCTGATACCATTGTAAAATTTATAAATAATCAACTATATTCCATTGCTTCGCCCATGGTCGTATGGTGATATTGAATAGCCTATAACCTTACTCATGGAATTAGCTTTCAAATGCAAGAAGAATTTTCAAAACCAACTAGTGGTTCCAGAGGATATCACGTTTAAACTAACAAACAAGCGCTTCCGGTTTATTACATTAGTATGTGTATATTATTAATTTATTTATGACAGAGGTAAGCAAATGTACGTAGGCGAGCTTGACTTGAAAAGAGTTCTCTTCCAGCAACACCCAAAGTGGAAAGGAGTATATTGAGTCAGCAAGTTTTAAATAGTTTCTATTACTATGTCTATATAGAACGGGAAAATTATGTACTTGCTATGTTTATCGTTTCCGACAATTGTTTCCACTTCATCTGGAAGTCTTCTTTAGGAGGCGTACGACGTTTTGCGTCACAGCATCTCGTCCAATCTTTAAAAAATGAACTGAAGTTTTAAAAGTTTATTTATGTTTAGCGCCAGTACTTTCAAGGGGTTCTCCAAGATCCCCACCAGCGGTTTCACCACGGTTCCTGGCGCCGTCCACAGCGGAATATCCTACGCAAGACTTGGACACGTTATTGGAAAATGCAGGTTAGTCGATCAGTTTCGCTTGTCTTTACCAATCTGCTTTTAATACTGTTACCAATTTATGTACAATTAGGATCTTATCATACTAAGCCATTAATTGTCCATTGCTGAACGTAGGCCTCTCCTGTAGAGAAGCAGTTTTGCTAGTAGTTGCCACGCTTGACATGCGGGTTGACAACCACAGTTAGGCTTTGGTGATGTTTTAAGAGAGACGCTTCTGGCCATCCCTCGACCATTAAGTTATCGTAGATGTCTCTTAAGATACCCACGGGAAAGGAAGGGGTGGCCCATTTTATGCCGGGACCACACGGCGAATTATCCTTTTAATGATATTGTTATTTTGTTTATAGGTCTCCAAGATATATTGGAGAAGGATTTCGTGTTGATGCAAGGCCTGAAACACGATCTTAATAGAAAATTAGCGGAAATGGAATCGAACATGCATTCGGTTGGTATATTTTTTTAGACAACTTAGTTTGACAAACAAGTTGAAGGAAAGTGGTTACCACTTTCCTTCAACCGTCTTCGCCTATAGATATGAACAGCACCATGGACATAACAGAGTATACTGTTTCGCCCATGATATCCCCCATGCGTTATCATTCCTGAGGACTAAGGTGTTCCGCTTGTAAATTCATGGCGATATTCCACTCTTCAAACCGAAATACAATCACTTAAACACAACTGCTTCATGGCAGAAACGAATGATATAGAGATACCCAGACAGATGTGTTTTATACAAATTCTCCGTTTGGTAAAATTGCTTTTACACATACTAATATAATAAAGTTTGTTTGTTTGAACTCCGTTTGAAAAATTCTTTTTGTATAATATATATATATATATATATATATATATATATATATATATATATATATATATATATATATATATATATATATATATTTTCTCTATGTATAAAATATCCTTTATTGCACTTATATAATAAATGTTACAATAAATGAATATACTACAACACAAAAAAAAATTAATGTAAAAATCATTTTTCAACCTATCATGCTGTTCGACCAAATGACATCTGATAAAGTAAATATAGTTAGTATTAATAAATGGATCATAAATATGTTTATGAATATTCTCCTAGATTCACATATAATTTTTTCCTTAAAAAAAAGACAAAGCATGTCGTTCACTTGATGGCAAGTGATTACCGCCACCCATATAGGCACTCGCAACATCAAAGAAATTGCTGGTGTGTTGCCGACCTTTATGGTGTCACGGGTGTAGGGGTGAACTTCTTGTCGATGGCGAGCTGTACGATGGTAGAAGCTGGCCATGGGCACCATACTGAACGATTCCTGTGAGCACAGTCCGTTGTACAAGCGGTAGGACAGGCAGAGTAAAATCTCTCCTAAGATTTAAATTTCGATACCGTTTTTACCTAAGCTTGGGATCATCGATAATTCTTATAGCTCATCATTGCATTGAGTCGAAGGGTTCAAGCTAAGGATTAAGCTGGTATTTTATCGGTTTCCTCAACAGATGGCTAGTGCGGTGAGCGTGGGCGCCCCGTATTTAGCGTTGAGGACGTACGATCCTGACCCCATGCATCCTGTAGATGAAATGGTGGATACATACAAAAGAGTTATGAAGTAAGTATTTTTTTTCTTTTAATGGATGATAATGCAATGGTAACCCCACCCGCGCTATCGGTATACACAGGCGGGGCACCAGTGAAGGATGATAGGTGAGGATGAAGCAGGTCAGTTAGCCCATCGAGACGAATTCAACAAGAATTGTTCACGATGGTTTCCAGGTGGAACCACGTGGAGGTCGACCTGATAAGGTATATTGCTAGCAATGCGGCTATCAAACCCCATTGCTAACAATTCTTTTCCCCCTTGAAGTAAGTAGTGATTATTTATTTGTTTGAAAAATCTATTGCGGTAAGGAACATAATAGTGTTAAGAGCGATCGTACGTTTAATTTAACGAATAATCGTAACAAGACAATTGTCTGCCAATTTTCAAAACTAATTGAATTTTTTTTAATATTTCAGTTTGATAGTTTAAAAAGTTCTCCTTTATTTTTTTTTTGTGCATCTTAGAATGGCAAACAAGCTGAGAGCCCACCTGATGGAAAGTGGTAACCGTCGCCTATAGACATGAGCAGTACCATGGCCATATCAGAGTATACCGTTTCGCCCATGATACCCCCCATTCGTTGCCATTCCTGAGGACTCAGGTGTTATTCCTCTGTACCCAGTAAATTCACTGCCATATCCCACTCTTCATACCGAAACACAGTCATGCAAACACAGCTGTTTCATGTTAGAAACCCGAATGGGACAGAGGTGCTCAAGCAAACAATTTTTGTACAAAGTGTCCCTCTGGTATAATCAGATGATTTTACTAAGTCTAAATAGTCTAAGTAGTATAGTAGTATTAGTAGTATAGTATATTAGTATAAGTAGTATATCTACTTATCTTCACGACAAGTTCCATCCTGGGCAGGCAGAGAGAACCAAGTTCTTTCAATTTAATTTCAGTTAAAGAAGAAAAGGTAATATTTCCAGATTATTTCCTGCTTCAAGTGTGGGCGGTACACCGACTGGGAGCGAATCCACTACCCCAAGGAATAGAACTTCACGATTATGAGACATCGAGTAAACATTATTGAGAGCGAAATTATGAAATCGCCAATAATGTGTAAATAAATTTTTCTTCCTTACTTTTTCTTTCTTCCTTCTTTTTTCTTTGTTGCTTCCTTCTTAACTTTCTTTCTTTCCTCTATACCTTATATCTCCAGTATGCTCCCTAGAAATATCACTAGCATTTTTTAAGGAGACATTGGCGTATTTAGGATTATTTTCTTGGATGAGTGAAGTTTCAATCGCATCCTGGGGTGGGCACTAGCCAATACTGAGGTGGGCACGACCCAACCATCCCCCAAGGAAAGTTTGTATGGGAAAAATGGTACTTGCGTTTCTCCTTACATGTTTTTTTCTTACAATTAATAATATAATTGTTAGTTTATCATGTACAGAAAATATTTTCTTATTGTCTATTTTTACTAAAATACCAAAACTGTTTAAACTGCAACCTATTATAGCCTATGTACTCAGCTTTATAAATTACAAAAAAAAAAAAATTAGTACAGTTCAAGGGTATACTATGTGTTAAGGAACTTAATGAATCTATGAATTTAATTATTAAGTTTTTTTTTTTTATACAACATAGAATGGCAAACAAGCTGACGGCCCACCTGATGGAAAGTGGTAACCGTCGCCTATACACATGAGCAGTACCATGGACATAACAGAGTATACTGTTTCGCCTATGATACCCCCCATGCGTTGCCATTCCTGAGGACTGAGGTGTTATTCCCCTGTACCCAGTAAATTCACGCCATATCCCACCCTTCAATCCGAAACACAGCCATGCAAACACAACTGCTTCACGGTTGAAACACGAATGGGACAGAGGTACCCAAGCAATCGATATGTATACAATATGTACATACAATATGTATATAATGTATACAAAACTATACAAACGAGCATGCGGCTCACCAGATGGTAAGTGACTACCGCCGCCCATGGTCACCCACAACACCAGCGGCATTGCAGGTGTGCTGCCGGCCTTTTAAAAAGGAATAATGCATGGTGGTTTAAAACTTACTTTGAGTAGCCTTCAACAAAAATATTTTATTATCAATTCTATTAAATTAATAAAGAGCGTTATTTATGGTATAAATGTACAATATGCTGCAGATTAAGGCTGAACACTCATAACAATTAATGGGTTCTTTACCCATAGAATAGAATAGAATAGAATAGAAATCATGTATTCAAATAAACTTACATTGAAGCACTTTTGAAAAGTCATTACATTTTTTTTAATTTACCGCTCGTTCGGAAAGCTGTCTCATCACAAGAAGAACGAGCAAGAAACTTGCGTGATGCTCTTTTAAATAATTTTATTATTATTTTACATTTTTAAGTTTAATTGTGTGAATACAAACCACCAATTAGCACTAATTCAATTAAATACTCAAAAAGAAAAAAAAATTGAATACATAACCAACTGGTTAAACAATTAATAAGAGGAAATCAGTCATAGTGATTAGAGCAGACCAGTCCCTACAAGCAGCACCCGTTCACGAGTATGACGGATGAGCCAGCCATCACTGCGCTCGACCATATTTTAGGGAGCCCAATGACCCGGCCCACCACGCCGCCACAAGTCTGGACATTTTAGTGAGCATGACTACTCAAAACACTAGACCACGTCAAAGCTACTCACAATTGCCATCTGATAGTAATAGTATTCACATTTTACATAAGAATGCATGCGGCAATTAATACAAAAAACCGCTACGCTTTCATATTTCTAAAATTAATCAATTAAATCAAGAAAGCAATGAGAAAATAAAATTATAACGTTGTATGCTAATAAACTAATTATTTACTTGATATGTTGTCATCTATGAATTCGTCTATCCTGTAATAGGCTTTCTTACATAAAAATTGTTTAATATAAGATTTGAATTGCCTCTCTGTCAGATTTAATGCAGATTCCGGCAGTTTATTATAAAATCTTATGCAATTACCATAGAATGAATTACTGATTTTGTGCAGACGGCATTTAGGTAAAATAAGCTTATTTATATTGCGTAAGTTTCTACTTGTACAGTCTTTGAGTTTTTTAAAACTCGCTAAGTTCTTCCGTGTATACATAATATTTTCATAAATGTATTGTGAAGTAACTGTGAGGATATTTGAGTCTTTAAAGCACTGACGTAATGACTCTCTTGAACCCATACCATAAATAGAACGTATGGCTCTCTTTTGTAAAACAAATATAGTATTTATATCGGCTGCTTTACCCCACAGCAGTATGCCATAAGACATTATGCTATGGAAATAACTAAAATATACAAGTTTAGCCGTCGCCACGTCTGTTAATTGCCTAATTCTTCTAATTGCATATGCAGCAGAACTGAGTCTACTGGCCAATTTTGAAATATGGGGCCCCCATTGTAATTTCGAGTCCACTGTTATACCTAAAAAAACTGTATCATTAACAAAATTTACTATTTCGTCATTAAGCAATAACTGTGTATTTATTAGTCTTACATTAGGAAGTGTAAATTTTATACACTTTGTTTTGCTGGAATTTAATAATAGGTTATTACATGTAAACCAATTTAATATTGCAGACATAGCACAATTTACATCGTCTAATTGATTACTTTGACGTCCAATTTTAAACACTAACGAAGTATCATCCGCAAACAGCACTATATCTGCAATTTTCTCTACCATAAAGGGAAGGTCATTTATGTAGATTAAAAAGAGAAAGGGGCCTAAGATTGACCCTTGTGGAACGCCCATCTTAATATTAGCTCCCTTAGATTTTACACCGTCAATATCTACAGTTTGAACCCTATCCTCTAAATAAGTTCTCATTAATTTTAGATCATTATCTCTTATACCATAATGTTCGAGCTTGTACAAAAGCGTTTTATGATCCACACAATCAAATGCCTTTGATAGGTCACAAAAAACTCCGAGTGCATCCTGTGACCTCTCCCAAGATTCGAAAATATGTGTCATTAGCGCAACACCTGCGTCAGTGGTAGACTTGCCGGCGGTGAAACCATATTGCTGACTGTGAAGCAGTCCGTTAACCCTGAAGTGATGTAACATTTGATTTAACATTATCTTTTCAAACACCTTACTTAGAACTGGCAAAATAGATATAGGTCTATAGTTCCCTGGCTCAAATTTATCTCCTGATTTAAATAGTGGGATTAATTTGCTAAATTTCATTAAATGTGGAAAAACGCCATTATCAATACATTTATTAAAAATAGTGGCTAGATATGGAGCAACAATATCTATGAAAGAACTAACTACTTTTACAGACATGCCCCAAAGGTCTTCCGTATTTTTTAAATTTAGCTGTTTGAATATTTTTATGATATGAAAGGGGCTAACATGTGAAAATTTAAATCTTAAAGAACAACAACCGATATTAGTCTCTAGTAATTTTTTTGCTCGAGATTGAGATGAGTCCAGAGAAGATGTAATATCAATCGGAATATTAGCAAAAAAATCTTCAAAAATATTAACTACATCTTTTGTTGTATCACCATGAGTTGTTATTCTCAATTTCACTTTCTGCCGCGGGCAGTATGTTGACACATGAAAACTTTTTGTTATTTATAATAATTTGAATTTAATAAAAAATAAAACTCATTCTTTTTTCTAACTGTCAACAAGTTTTTTTTTTCATAAAATTTAAAATATTATAAATAAAGCAAATACAGCTAGAACACTAGCAATAATCTTTAAAGCGTTTGACCGAACCTTTATCATGTTGTTTACAAACGATAAGCAAGATCATATACTCATGTAAATTGCTTATTAATTAATTAATTAGCCAATAAATGGTTATTTATATTTTTCGTCTTCCTTTACCTTTTCATATATATAGTTATAAATATATAATTATGTCAGTTGTTACTTTATGTTCATACGTGTGTGCATTCATCTAGTGTAAAAGTACTTTTGTTCGGGAAAAAAGTGTACAAAAAAATACAAATTAATGATAAGACAATGCTTAGTATAATATTTTCTATTGGAAATAATTCATTTAGAACGTGGAATTGTGTGTTTCTTGATTTTAATTTGGACCAACCAATTTTTTGCTCCGCTAGAAAAAAAAAACAGTAGCTTTAATAGTCATAAAGTTGTGAAAGAAAATAACTACCAGAGGGAGACTTTGTACAAAAGTCGATTGCTTGGGTACCTCTGTCCCATTCGTGTTTCAACCGTGAAGCAGTTGTGTTTGCATGGCTGTGTTTCGGTTTGAAGGGTGGGATATGGCGTGAATTTACTGGGTACAGAGGAATAACACCTGAGTCCTCAGGAATGGCAACGCATGGGGGGTATCATGGACGAAACAGTATATTAATTTATTTATTATTTATTTTACACTATTTACACATTTATAGTATACTCTGTTATGTCCATGGTACTGCTAATGTCTATAGGCGACGGTCACCACTTCCCATCAGGTGGGCCGTCAGCTTGTTTGCCATTCTAAGTTGTATAAAAAAAAATTAACTATATGTTATAGTAAAAAATTCTATAATGAAATTAATAAAAAAAAAATTACAGATCATCCATTTTGGATGTTTGTTCTCATACACAAACGTAATAGTAAGATTAACTAAACCTTATTATCAATTGGAATTATCTTAATGTGAATGACGAAACAGAATTAAATTATAATTGTCACGTTCAGAGAAAACAAGCTTTGTTTTTTTTTAGGCGGATTGGATACGAAAAAAAATATGTTGCGAAAAATATACAGGGTGGAATTGACAGGCTGGCCGAAACGAAAACGGCTAATTCAGATGATTTTCTTATACAACTTAGAATGGCAAACAAGCTGACGGCCCACCTGATGAAAAGTGGTAGCCCTCGCCTATAGACATGAGCAGTACCATGGACATAACAGAGTACACTGTTTCGTCCATGATACCCCCCATGCGTTGCCATTCCTTAGGACTCAGGTGTTATTCCTCTGTTTCCAGTAAATTACGCCATATCCCACCCTTCAAACCGAAACACAGCCATGCAAACACAACTGTTTTACGGTTGAAACACGAATGGGACAGAGGTGGCCAAGCAATCGACTTTTGTACAAAGTCTCCCTCTGGTAAAATCAGATGATTTTACCAGGTCTAAATAGATGACAGATTATTTTCCTACCTGAAATGTCTTACAGCCATATAATTAATGAATAGTTTAGACGCCGCGCAATGTATTTGAAATTTTACGATCCACACGACGCGAGATACCAACAGCGCGCGGTAAATGGCGTTTCTTCGTAGGTAGTTACCGTACGCTTGTGGCGTTGATCTTTCACAGCTGATACCGCGTGTCGCGATACAATTTTAATACGAATATTACATTGCTTTTTTTTTGTATTCCATAGTATATATATTTATTTATTTAACTCTTTATTGCACCATAAATAAAAATATACAATGACAAGTGAACAATTCAAGTGATATACAGTAACATAAATACAGATTGAAATAAACACATAAAGGTACAAAATATATAAGACAATCGCTAGGGCAATCTCTTACAGACAACCTTTAGTTAAAGGAGAACAGGTGGAAAAGGGCAGGTGGCGTAAGAGTGAATTAATAATTTTCGTGCATAAAATACATTATGTATATATATATGTATATACATAAAAATATATTATGTATATATCCATAGTATGTATATATATTATAACATAATACTATAGATAATATGATTTTAAACGAAAAAATACGAAATAAATTGTAATTTTGCAGAAAGAATTTCCACTGGTTTTTAGTTCAGAATAGTGGTCTGAATTCACTGTTTCAGTTTTTGCCAACTTGTCCCTTACACACGTAATAATACTAGTGATTCGCCTCGGTTTCACACGGGTATATAGAATTTGTTAAAATAATATATCGCCTTTGTTACCTTCAAACACTTTAGCTTTCTATAGGTGAAAGAATTTTTAAAATCGGTTTAGTAGTTTTTGAGTTTATCCATTACAATCAAACAATTAAATCTTTCCTCTTAATAATTAAATATTAGTATAGATTAGGGTGCCACCCAGATATGTTAGTTTTTTTTTAAATAAAATATAACCTATGTCATTCACTGATAATGTAGCACTAGGTAATAATAATAAACTCTTTATTGCGCACAATAGAGATGTATACAAGGAGTGTTTATACAGAATGTGCATATACAAAAGGCGGCCTTATCGCTAAAGGCAATCTCTTACAGACAACCTGGTAACTAGTCTATAGCTGAATTTTTTTTATTCCACTGAGGTGGCAAACAAGCATACGGCCCACCTGATGGTAAGTGGTTACCGTAGCCTATGAAAACCTGCAATATCAGAGGTATTACGCGTGCGTTTCCGACCCTAAAATAGTTTTAACATTTTTTTTTATACATGCAACGAATCAAATCCTTTCTTTTTATAATATTATTTCAAAGTAGTTTTCAACCGCGACTTTGTCCACATTAATGGGATACATAGACATTTTTAGACATAGTACATTTAAATAAATACACATAATGTTAACAGAGATTTAAAAGAGTAACTGTTGAATTTCTTGCGGGCTCTTTTCAATAGATAGCAACATTCCGAATCAATTTCCGAACGAATAAAAAATTACGATATAAAAATGCTTGTAAACAAATCTTTTTGAAAAAAGATGATTTAAATTTTTAGTAGTAAAGACAATAGTAGACTAGCGACTAGCCAATAGCTCCTAAGACAGATGAAATTTTACAAGAAACACAAAAAAAAAAAACCAGTTTAATTTCGAATCGATTCTAAATACGATGAATCCAGTAAGTAAATGACCATAAAATGTTTCATGCCAGGGAGGGGTCCTGGTGCCTTGTGATACGGGTTCTTCGGATAGCCAGTTCAGGCACCAGTTCTCTGCAAATTTAATGTATCTATGGTATTATTATAAATTGTTCATTGTACTCAAAAAAGTTGTCAGAAATAAATAAACATTATTATTATTATATACATATGTATTATTTCTCAGCTTATAGCTGGTTTTCTAGAGACAAGGACGGGATTGTTACCAAGTCACTTGTTCTCATATTTTATTTTATTCAGTAGGAATGTTAGGAATTGGACTATTTAAAATTTTTCTAACTATGGAGCATGTATCTAATACTGTAGATTTCTGGAGTTCAATGAAGAATGTCTTATTAAGGTGCAGTTTATTTAATGAGTTGTGTAGAGATTTTGGGATATCTCTTTCTATTAGCGGTACTCTATTGTTTCTTTGTATTACTCTTATTTGGTCTGCTAGTCTTTGCTGTGTAATGTGATTCAGTTCTGGGTAAATTTCTACAAATTTTTGATATAATAATAGCCTGTATCCAGTTAGGTTACTTTCTAAATTAGTGACTATATAATAGCAACGGAGCAATTGCTGGTTTACTTCATTTGTCCATTTCATCCGTTGTCTATTTCGGCCTCCCTGAGTGTGTTGAAGGCATCATGTCCTCCAAAACACTTCTGGCAGGGTTGTGTTGATGTCGATTGTGCGCTGTAATGATTTTAGCCCTATTTTCGACCGTCGCCTGCCTCTGTAACGAATACCGCCGCTGGCGGCCCGCATACTTTATGTCACGCCCAGCGCCAGCCCCAGACGTGCCCTGGCGATTACCCCCAGGCAGCGGCTCTATACGAACATTACTGTTATTCTCCATCATTAATGGGTTACCAGAGCCATGTTAGCCGTGCCAGTAATGTAAAAAAAGATCAGAACGTGTCTGAGGGCGCCCCCTACGTTGTATTTTGATCAGATGGTCGTATTGGAATATGCCTCGGACGTATGGCTGGATTTGAGGTCTCTCAATTTACATCATATAAATTAATTTGTCTACATAATCTTGTAATTGTTTGTATCTTTATTAAGTTTAAAACGGTTACTTCTAAAACAAACAATAAAGATTATATATTTATGAGTATCTATAGAAAAAGAGATAGGTAATATAGAAAAAAATGTCTGCAACTATTTAATAAATATCAGTTAAAAGGTATTGGTGGTTACCACTCTATTATCACTCATTGAAAAAACAGTCCCATTGCTAGCAATATACCCCATTAGGTCGACCTCCACGCGGTTCCCCCGAAAACTATCGTAATTAACTATTCTCGAATTTGTCACAATGGATCAGCTGCTTTTATCATCAAGGAGTACTCAGGAATGACAACGCATAAGGAATATCATAAGCGAAACGGTATATACTCTGTTATGTCCATGGTACTGCTCATGTCTGTAGGCGACGGTCACCACTTTCTATCAGGTGGGCCGTCAGCTTGTTTGCCATTCTAAGTTGTATAAAAAAATCCTCACCTATGACTTGTGCTCCGCCAGCGTATACCGATAGCGCAGACGGGGTTACCATTCCATTATCACCCATAATAAAATCTCGATATTTTCAAAAATGGTGGCAGGCATATAATAAAAATAACCGCGCGTCTACCTTCATATATTTATAATCAGTTTTATTAATTCGGTGATTTATTTACATTAGAATCAGTATGTGAATTGTACATATTTTGTGTTTTTCACCAAATATACTCATATATAGTTACAGTTTTTTTTTTTTTTATTACTTAACGTGATTAATAAAAGTGTTTGTGAAATAGCAAAGGTGAAAAAAGTATATGCAAATAAAATTTTGTATATGGAGTGAAATATATAGTAAATATATTGGGAATAAAGTAAAATACTATTTAATTATAATAATTGTGGACTAAGTAAATGCCGAATGTGGTGATAGAAGAAACCAGCAGCGTATAAACATAATAAAGACATAGTTAATTCTAAACTTTAGCGATGTTTACACATATTTTAAATACATTATCAGGATTTGTATCGATGAAAAAATTTTGCAGGTAAATACCTATATATCTGCTTCTTTATTATTATTATGGAATAGGCCACCCCTTCCTTTCTCCGTGGGTGTCGTAAAAGACGACTAAGGAACGGCGAGGGATGGGCAGCAGCGTCCCCCTTAAAACATTTCTAAAACCTGACTGCGGTTTTTTTTTATTGGATGATAATGGAATGGTAACCCTGCTTGCACTAATAGTATACGCTGGTGAGGCACCAGTGAGGGATGATAGATGAGAATGAAAAAAGCAGGTCCGTTTGCCCATCGTGATGAATATACTTGCGAATTCAGCACGATAGTTTCCTGGGGAACCACGGGATATATTGCTAGCAATAGGGCCCTTAGTTTCTCTATTACTAACAATCCCTTCCGCCCAACTAACTGCGGTTGCCAATTCGCCCGCCAAGCGTGGCAACTACTGACAAAACCCCTCAAAGGGAAGACATGTTCAGCAGTGGACGGTTAAGTGCTCATATAATAATGATGATCTGCGTCTTTATTGCCGACGTTTTTATGTGAATTGCACCACGTCGTGGCTATGGCGTAGTTTACTCGCAAATTTTTTTATCGTATTAAATCCCGATAGTATATTTACAATAATTGAGGGAGACTTTGTACAAAAGTCGATTGCTTGAGTACCTCTGTCCCATTCGTGTTTCAATCGTGAAGCAGTTGTGTTTGCATGTGGTGGTGGGATATGGCGTGAATTTACTGGATACAGAGGAATAACACCTGAGTCCATGGCAACGTGAGTTTTTATAGGCAAAACAGTATTTGTTATGTCCATGGTACTGCTCATGTCTATAGGCGACAGTATATTTCCATCAGGTAACTGTCAGCTTGTTTGGCATTCATTTTTGTATAAAAAAATATATATTAAAATAAAAACGGTGGAACCAAGCACAATTGTTTTATTAAAAATAAATTAATAAATCTCATAATATTAACTGTTCAGAGTTATTTAAAATGTTAAACAATATGTCAGGTACAAATTTTTCTTTCATATTTTTTTTTAATATTCTTTTTATATAGCATCTTAGAACCCATTCTACATTTTGACAAGTAGTTTTAAATACATGAATTTAATCCCACCGTGTGCCGATTGCCATTAATCTTATCAATTCAGACGTCATAAAGTGGAGTGAATCTGTCACATATCTCATTAATTATTCGTACTATATATACATAGTGTAATAACTAAAACACTGCATATTAAAATATAAAACAGTAATAAGCTAATATAAATATAATTAATTATATATTTACAATTAACTGAAATTAAAGAAGCAGAAGTGGTAATTAATATAAGATAGGGAATTATAACAAACTAATACTCTTAATTTGATTTTAAATACATAATTATATAATGATTTTTTAAATAAGGTGTAATTAATTATATTATTATACAATTTAATTTTGAATTAAAAGAAGCAAAAGTGATAAAAACACAGTGAATTATATTAAAACGTTATTTAAAAATAAAATAAAATATAACTATTTTTTTATATTATATAATAATAATAAAGTAGAATTTCTTTATATAATTTAATTTTGAAATTAAATAAGCAGAATCGTAAATAATAAGATATAAAATATAAATAAACAAAAATGAAGAAAGAATTAGTGAAACGATTGCTGCGGACACATCAAGTTTTTTGTCTAGTTAGAAATAACTCGACCAAAAGTGTAGACAATTTCCTAAAGTTTTACAGTGAACAAAACTGTGTAACAAACAAGTATCGAGTGCTTACGGGACAAGATTATGTCAGATTCATCAGTAAGAAGAACTCCCTCAGGGAACCAGCTCTGACCAGGTTGCTTGGTAAGTATTTACAATCTTTGTTTTCAAAGTTATTAAGTCAACATTTTTAAAGTAAGTCAACGTTTCGGTAGAAATATAAATGTATTATTAATTATATAAAAAATGTACTGAATTGTTTAATTATCTTTATAATACTTTTTTTTTATACAACTTAGAATGGCAAACAAGCTGACGGCCCACCTGATGGAAAGTGGTGACCGTTGCCTATAAACATGAGCAGTACCATGGACATAACAGAGTATACTGTTTCGCCCACGATACCTCCCATGTGTTGCCATTTCTGAGGAATCAGGTGTTATTCCTCTGTACCTTGTAAATTCACGCCATATCCCACTCTTCGCAGACGGTTGAAACACATTAACGCAGACGTGTTACCATTTCATCATCATGTATTAAAAAAAAGTCGTTAAGGCACTAAAAAGTACAAATAAACAAAATGTAAGCGAGGATTTTACATTTATTTCTATTTCATTGTCTCAATTATAATCTGATGAAATATCAACAACAAATTAAGTTATTAAGATCTCCAAGAGATAAACTCACTAATGGCTCGCAGTGTACTATATTATTTTACATTTTATAATTGTTATAAATAAAAACAATCTTGCTATAACTATATAATTAATATATTAATAGTCTTATTTTGTTGTTTGTTTACGCTTCCTAGATAAGTATTCAATGACAATAATTATTTCCTGTCTGTCATCTAAAGTCATATATTTTGTACATAAATCTCTATATATATATTCGCCCATATATATATATATATATATATATATATATATATATATATATATATATATATATATATATATATATATATATATATATATATATATATATATATATATATATATATATTTATTTATTCTGTTATAAACATTTTAGTACAATACACTGGTAGATTAGTTCTTACTGTTCTTATATTTATAGGCGAAACAGTATAGGCACTCTGTTATGCCCATGGTACTGCTCATGTCTATAGGCGACGGCTACCACTTTCCATTCCAGGTGGGCCGTCAGCTTGTTTGCCATTCTAAGTTGTATAAAAAAAAGAATATATTAATTAATAACTAGCAATTCGGCTTGTTCACCGTGTCGGTCTCAGAATAGAATGGGCCACTCCTTCCTTTCTCGTGAGTGTCATAAGATGCGACTAAGGGAACTTATGGTCGCGGGATGGGCAGCAACGTCCATCTTAATATATCACCAAAGGCCTAACTGCGGTTGCAAATCCGCCTGTCAATCGTGGCAACTACTGGAAAACCCACCCATGGGGGAGGGTTATGTTCAGTTAACAGTTAACAGTAGACAGTTAGGCTGATATGACGATGATGAATCCGGCTCGACTTCGCACTAGTGAATATTTAATAAGTCATTAAGTATCCACTGCTAAACATAGGCCTCCTTCTATTGGGGAGTTTTACCAGTAGTTGCCACGATTGGCAGGCAGGTTGGCAATAATTATCGAAAATAATATGTAGCCTATGTTACTCCCACATAATGTAGCTTTCTATAGGTGAAAGAATTTGTAACCATTTTCTAGCGATTTTTGCAATATCCAGAGGGATCCGCGTGGAGGTCGACCTGATAATATATTACTAGCAATGGGACTATTAAACCCCATTACTGACACTTTCATAAACTGTTATAAGGTTAATAACTACTTAGAACGGCTTATCTTTTAACTCATAACTGTCATTTAACGGCCGGTCTACTTTGACCTCCATATCTAAAACATATGGTCATTCACACCAAAATTGATTAAGGAACGCGGAGGCAGGAACTTTTGAATATTTGGTAAATCTAACGTCGCGCTGTGCTCGACTTTGAAGAAAGGGACAGATATAGCTCAGTTTGATGAAAATCTTTGAATAATAAGCGAAATCGTATTTTTTTTATACCACGAAGGTGGCAAACAAATATAAAACCCGTCTGATGGTAAACAGTCACTGTAGCGTACTGACACCTGTCACATCAGGGGTGTCACATGTCACTGATGAAACCTTCATAAGTCCACTGCTGGACATAAGCATCTCCCTTCGGGGGTTCCGCCAGTAGTTATCACGCTTGGCAAGCGGATTGGCAACCTCAGTTAGGCTTTAGAGATGTTTTAAGAGGGAAGCTGCTGCCCATTCCTCGCCTTCCTTTAGTCGGTTTTTACTACACTCACGGGAAAGGAAGTGGTAACCTATTCTATACCGGGACCATTCTAATAATATTGGGTAATTTTTTTTTAAAGGAGCATTAATGTAGAAACCTTTGTACACCATTTTTGAAGGACCCCATACTGTAGCTTCTAGGGAAACCTCGGCAGGAAGCTTTTTCCATAGCTAGAGCGTTGGCGGGAGTAAACTACTCTGATCGTACTGTACTGTAATATAGATAATAACAAAAATTGTGTTAATGACTCTTGAGTTATTTTTGTGAAATCCCAAATTCAGTTGATAAGTGTTATCACACTATGTTATTTATTATTCAGAATAATATTTACAGTTTTACAGTTAATTTGTAGGTATAACGTAATCAATGCGTAAAAGCAAAAAAGCAGGAGATAAAGATTTGTCTCATTTTTTTCGTAAAAAACGGGTTTTAATGATCATCACCATATCAGCCTTTAACTGTCCACTGCTGAACATAAGCTTCTCCTTTGGGAGGTTTGCCAGTAGTTGCCATGCTTGACAAGAGGATTAGCAAATGCAATTTGGCTTCAGAGATATTTTTAGAGGGACAATGCTGCCCATCCCTCGTCTCTTACACGGAAAAGGAAGGGATGGCCTATTTTATTCTGGGACCACACCAATAATAATATTGGGTATAAAATATCTATAAAATTAACATAGCAAGACAGACAGATACTCTTTGTTCCTCCAAAAGATTACATTAGTAAATTTTTAGAGGAAACTATGGAATGAGCTCCCTGCCAAGGCTTTCTCTATAAACTATATTGACGTAAATTGTTTCAGCGGCATTGGCCTGCAAGATGGACAAACAAGCTATTTCTCTAGCTGAAGGGGTACCAAATGAAGGGGTGTTCCCATATACCAGGCTTCAAATGGATACCAGAGACGGAAGAGGACTGGTAATAGAGGGGAAGGATATGGCTGTTGCATTACAGTATACACCATCGCAAGGGTAAGAGATAATTTTTACTTACTTTTTCACAAGCTTACGGTCCACCTATTAGAAAATGGTAACCGTCGCCTGTCGACTCTGTTTATGAATTATTAAAATCATTGAGTACTATGTGATACAATACGTGCCTACTCGTAATGGGCTCCTACATCTGAGGACTACGGTATTATACCTTTGTACCCTAGACTCACATTGTCATAAAATTGAAACAACCATATAAGTACTTAAGCCATGTAAGCAGATGCTTCACGGTAGAAGTAAAAAAAGCAAACGATCTTTTGTTTTGTTTTTTTTTTATACAACTTAGAATGGCAAACAAGCTGACGGCCCACGTGATGGAAAATGGTAATCGTCGTCTATAGACATGAGCAGTACCATGGACGTAACAGAGTATACTGTTTCGCCCATGATACTCATGATACTGAGGACTCAGGTGTTATTCCTCTGTACCCTGTAAATTAACTGCCATATCCCACCCTTCAAACCGAAACACAACTATGCAAACACAACTGCTTCATGATCGAGTACACGTGGTTTTAAAGTTTTCTCCCATCAACATTCAGGTTGTTGTATAAGCTTCCTTCCGAGGTCTCCTTTAAAGTTCCACTATGGAGTTCTTAAAAAGATTAAAGATTTTTCATAATTGGTAAGGCGCACACGATATTCCTGGTATTCCAAGTGCCCATAAGATATAGTATCAATTTTCTATTTCTTCATTATGAGCTAATGCTTGTTCTATATTAATCTTTAAAAAAAGGTCTTAAGAATATTTTTTGCTTCTTTCATTACCCCTATCATGTATAAACCCTCATTGTCATTTTTAATAATGTTTTATTTTTATGAAATGAAAACGAGATGTCAGTAAGTGATGATAAATAAGAACGAAGTCAGGTCAATTCTTCCAATCTGATAAACTCACCAGGAGTTTAACGCTATGGTTTTCAGGGGAACCGCGTAGTGGTACTTGTCAGGCAGTAATATACCTGACAAGGTATATTGTAAGTAATGGATCTTGAAAATCAGCCTCTAGAGTGATCTTTTACATCGCGATTAATATTTTCTTCACCAGTCTTCCGGCCCTGCTGACAGAGATACGTCAGTTCCAACACGACTTGCATCGTCCGCCACCCATTCCGCGGGACGTGATGGTCACTAATGGTAGTCAACAAGGGATCTACCAATGCATCGAACTCTTAGTAGAACCAGGTGACCCGGTCATGAAGAGCGAATATTCATATCCCGGCATAAATGTTGCCGTAAGTAATTAAAAGTTTTAAAAATTCCACACAGATATCTCTGTCTCTGTGTCGTTTTTCTCCCGCTTAACAGCTGTGCTTACGTAACTGTAGTTCCTTCTACCTTACGTCAGCAATCTAACTTTAACATTCCACTTCTCGGTATAGAATAGATTAGAATAGAAAAATATTTATTGCTCTAAATAATAAAAGTATATTTTTTTAAAAGTATACAGCCCGTCTGATGGTAAACGGTCGCTGTAGCTTATGGACGCCTGCAATACTAAAGGTATCAAATACGCGCTGCCGATCCTGAAGAAATCTTTATGCACCCTTTTTGAAGAACCCCATATTTATTTATTTATTCATTAGTACAAATATGTGTACATGGTGGACTTAATGCTAAAAGCATTCTGTAGTCTCTAGAGAAAACCGCGGCAGGGAGCTCGTTCTACAGCCTGAGCTTTCGCGGAAAAAAACTCATCTGAGACTGCACTTTACGCGACCATTTAGGTTCTGTAAGCAATTATCATTTTAAACGATTCCTCAAAATACAATTCGTTATATATAATTATTTCCAATTCTATTTCTATGCCAAAGAATCTCTCCTAATCGATAAGAGGATTTTATCATTCCCAAATAGACTTGGTATTATATTGTTTTTCCTTCTCGTAAACTGTACATTAGTTGGGGGGAAAGGGATTGTTAGTAATAGAGACTATCCTATTGCTAGCAATATACCCAACCAGGTCGACCTCCTCGCGGTTCTCCCTGGAAACTATCATGGTTAATTCCTGATGAATTCATCATGATGGGCTAACTGCCTGTTTTCATTCTCATCGATTACCCTTCACTGGTGCTCCGCCAGCGTATCCCGTTAGCGCAGGCGAGGTTACTATATCATTTTCACCCATCAAAAAAAAAACTGTGCATTAGTTGCATCTTACTATATCCTGGGTATTCTACTTAAAATTATTTGAATATTTTTCTGTCTTTCTAGTTAAAACCATATCAACCAGAAATCGTCAACATCTCAGAAGACTACGATGGTTTGGTCCCCGAATCTTTAGAGTCCACGCTGGAAGATAGACTAGTTCGTGGCTTGAAAATGCCAAAATTATTGTATGTGACACCAACTGGTAGCAATCCTGCAGGGACGGTCATACCTGAAGAGAGAAGGAAGAAGATATATGATCTTGCTTGCAGATATGACTTTCTGATCCTTGAGGATGATGCATATATGTTCCTGAATTATGATGAGGTATAAAATATTCTAATTATTATTTCTAAGGTACCAGTTATAATATATTGAGTAATAGAACAGAGAAATAACTAGTAGCAAAATTTTTGTGAGAAGACAATGAGAAAACAAATTAGAGGACGTGGAAGAAGATCGTTATGGATAAGTTATAGATGAGATAGAATAAGACAGCAATGATGTGGCTGTGAAACTACAGGGTGCGTACGCATAACGCCATAGTCGTTAGGAATGGCAACACATGTGGGATACCATGGGATAGGATATAAATGAGATAGAATGAGATAGCAATGGTATGGCTGTGAAACTACAGGGTGCGTGGGCATAACGCCATAGTCGTTAGGAATGGCAACACATGTGGGATACCATGGACATTACAGTTAACTCTGTGATGTATGCTGTTCAAGTCTATAGGCGACCGTTACCATTTTATCCATTAGGTGGGACTTCAACTTGTTAGTCATATTAACTAACTTAAATAAATGTTTGTTGTACTGTTAGACATGAAATCAATGGTTACCTTTCTCCATCAGGTACAAAAGTCGATTGCTTGTGTACCTCTGTCCCTTTCGTGTTTCAACCGTTAAGCAGTTGTGTTTGCATGGCTGTGTTTCGGTTTGAAGGGTGGAATATGGCGTGAATTTACTGGCTACAGAGGAATAACACCTGCGTCCTCAGGAATGGCAACGCACGGGGGGTATCATGGGCGAAACAGTATACTCTGTTATGTCCATGGTACTGCTCATGTCTATAGGCGACGGTTACCACTTTCCATCAAGTGGGCCGTCAGCTTGTTTGCCATTCTAAGTTGTATAAAAAAAAAGATCGTATAAATAGCTACTTTCTACTGGTTTTCAGGTACACCCTCCCTCATTTTTATCATTAGACACTTGCGGTCGCGTGATCCGGTTGGATTCCTTTTCGAAGGTGATCAGCGCTGGTCTTCGAGCTGCATGGGTGACTGCGCCAACGGCTTTGCTTCAGCGGTTGGAACTGCACATGCAAGCTGAGATGCTTCATAGTTGCACTCTCTCCCAAGTAAGGCTTTTAAATTAATCATGTGATATAATAGGTTGGGATCCAATTTATTAACTGTCTTTCAGCATTATACAGGTTGGAAGCACACTTGTGCTTCTCGTTAACTAGTACACATCTCGTACTGGTCTTTTTTAGGATAAACGAAAGGGGGCGCTACCATTCTATTATTAACTATTGAAGAAGTGTCCCTTCATACCCTATTTTACTCTTGTTTGAGGGAGACTTTGTACAAAAGTCGATTGCTTGGGTACCTCTGTCCCATTCGTGTTTCTACCGTGAAGCAGTTATGTTTGCATCGCTGTGTCTCGGTTTGAAGAGTGCGATATGGCATGAATTTACAGGGTACAGAGGAATAACATCTGAGTCCTCAGGAATGGCAACGCATGGGGGGTATCATGGGCGAAACAGTGTACTCTGTTATGTCCATGGTACTGCTCATGTCTATAGGCGACGGTTACCACTTTCCATCAGATGGGACGACAGCTTGTTTGCCATTCTAAGTTGTATAAAAAAAAAGAAATCCTGTCGTACCCTACTTTATTCTAGTTTACCCTATTGTACCTTATTTTATTCATTATATTTCTCAGGCGATCCTGCTCCGGTTGCTATCGCACCGACCGTCGCTGGTATCTTACCTGCAGAATGCGCGCGCCCTCTATCGACGGCGGCGTGATGCCTTGCAAGGCAGGCTGGAGGCACATCTGCGACCTCTAGCGGATTGGTGCACACCTCGTGCCGGTCTCTTCATTTGGTTGCGCGTGCACAATGTCGATGACGTGTACAATATGGTGAGATATCCTCTTTTACTTTCGTATTCACTCTCTCTTTCTATTTACTAATTTTTACCCCCGGGTGTATATTTGTAAATGATTATTTAAAAAGTGTACTCTATAGTAGCAGGCTAAAGTATTTATTTATTTTTGTTTTTTTTATATTTTTACACTACGTACTACATAATTATTGTAATAAATGATTTTGTGCAGGTATTTCAGACGGCATTCGAGCGTGGCCTCATTTTGATACCTGGAAATGCTTTTCAATACGACACAAGCGCTCCCTGTCAATATTTACGGTTGACGTTTAGTAAAATTTCATTTGAAGACATGGATATAGCAGCACGACATCTGGCGGATATAATCAGAGACGAGCAACGACGAACATTACATAAAGAACCCCAAAGGTTAGCTACCGAACGCTAGATGGCGAAACTAGATAAAATAATACGCTTAAGAAATATCTTTTCAAATTATTGTATTAATGATTTGATACGTGTATGTGCCTATAATAATAGCAATTATTATTCATAAAATTTCAAGTTTATTAATGCTATCGTAATTGTGAATTTATTATAATTATATAAAAATAATATTAGAACGCTAGTTGCTTGAAGTGATATAAATGATGTACTTATAAATGCCCGTTAAATATTTAATATATTTTATTTTGTTTTTTATTCACTTTAATTTAATTTATTTTTTGTTTACAAAACATTTTCTACTCTACGATAGATGTCGCTAGTACAATAAAGGACATGGATTTCTGATTTTTTAAAAAATAGAAATATAATAATAACTGCGTTATTAATTTAAATTCGAAGGGTAAATTTATCATAATTTCTGACTTTATTCGCTTATATTGTACAATTTTGAAAAAAAAAAAATTGTAAGAAACATTGCGATTATGTAGGTTTAATCAGAAAAGATCAGGTATCTGTTACTTCAAATTCATACATAATAATAAAATTTATTTATGAACTTAGAAAATACGACAATGTCTCCTCTTACAAAAGCACATTAAAAAGGCTCCTAATCGGTCAATGTCGTGATTTACATGTACTATCTTTTTTTTTGTATTCTATACTATTTAATTCCTCCTTCCCTTTTTATCTTCGTGATATCATCATCATCAGCCGTTGTAGACCATTAGCTGATGATATAAGAAACACAGTTACAGTGATTATTTGCTATACGAATTATTTGTTAAAAAACATCCAAAGATATTTAAAAAAAAATATGAGAACAAAAAAAAAACATTTATCTCATGCTATCCCACTAAATTATTATTGTAATAATCGAATTCTGTACTTTACAAATATAAATCTTATTTTTTGACAATTAAGTAGTATAATCCTTTTTCAAAATATCCTACACAGTAACTAGGTACCGTTAAATCATTTTAAAGTCAATTATAAACGTTGGCTCCATAAAAAAATGTTTTTATTCAAATATTCTGTACGTAGATCTTAGATTGTATAGATAGAGCATCGAGCCTTAAAAACGCGTCAACTTTTTGTCAACTAATTGTCAAATTAACTGACTTGTTATATTTTATCAGTGTTCTATATACTTACGCATAAAATGTATCTTAACGTATTATTTAAAAATTATATTAGTGTTTACACATTAAAAAGGTCGTAGAAATTAAAAGACCAAATAAATGTAGAAGTTATAAAGGAATCACTCATAACTATTTATCACGCAAAATCGTATGAAACAGTTGATCCGTTTTTTTGGAGCATTTCTATGGAGACACTCTATCTATATAATCTAATATATGCTCATTATTTCCAACTAGGATAGATATAAAAATTCCAAAATGTATGTAGGTATTTAACACTCATCTACATATTTATTTGCCTTCGAAATGACATAGGTATGTAGGTATTTGGTGCGTTCAATTGGCAATAGTTAACATTCAACCTTTGATTCCTCTTCAGCTACCGGCGCAGAGTAATGTGTATGACAGAGAATTCACACTTAGAAACTTTTGTTAAATTTCTCTATCCAATGTTCTGTAATGAATGTCTTTTTTTTTTTAGATGTGTATTGTGAACTGTTAGTAGAATTGAAAACGCCAGTCCGTATTAAAAACTTGTACTGGCAATTTATAAAAAAAAATAAACAAATAAAAGGATAAAATACCTATTAAAAAAAAAAATTACAAAAGAGTTTGTAACAATGTGGTTAAAATTTTTTTGGTTATACTTTATCTATTTCATAGATGATAATGATTATTTTATCGGGATGAAAGCCAAATTAAATTCCCGCCTACGATATCGGTACATGTTGGCGGGATACCAGTGAGTTTTCACCTGATATTTCTAGGGTTCTCTCTACCATGTGATAATGGTAGGTAGATACTAGATTTTACTACTAGATTTTTGCGCATCGTTTCTAATATTTTAAAACATAAGTGATTTATCAAACTTCAAAAATTTCAGCGAAACTATACCTCGCGGTTTTGCCCGCATAAATTAGGATAAAAATTGTTATATTTTGTATATATAGTACTGTACTTGTGAGCACATAAAATTTATTTTATACGCTGACAGACGCTTGAAGTTCGACTCCATTCCGCTTTTGATTGAGTAAGTAACGTTCTAACTTTTTTTATAAAGTATATCTAAATGTTTACTGGTTTTTAAAGATTGGAGATATTTTTTATAGCAGAAATTATTTAAATAATAAAAAAAGGGAGGTTTTAGACACGTTTGTTATGTTAGAATAGAGTAACAGGGGTGATTTATGAAACAAAAGATAAACACAGAATCTATTTTAAAATTGGTAAATCCTTACTAATATTATAAATGTGATTGTTACAAACTCCTTTGTAATTTGTAATTTCTAATATTGTATTCTTTTAATTATTCATTTTTTTTATAAACTGTCAGTATAACTTTTCAACACGAACCGGCGTTTTCTTTATTATAATCAGTTCACAATAGTGATATTAAAAAAAAAAAAAGAAAGTGAGTTTCTTTCCTTGTTACTTTATAGCAACTCGACGGCTTAACCAATCACTATGAAATTTAGTATACACTTATTACAAAATAAAATAAAATATTAAATAAATAAAATATTAAAATAGACTACTTATGTACATTTAGATCAGTGAACATATTCTGTTCACGCAGACTAAGTCTCGGGTAAAAACTAGTCGAATATAAAAATCTGCCATAAATTTTCGCTAAAGGTAAATATATTTTTTATTTTATTTGTCGTTTCTATGACACAACTACTCTGTACATTCTTTCTCATTATTAGCGCAAGAGTTGTTTTATTCCGACGTCGGTGAGTTAGCTCACAATTTCCCATTTACCTCGTCTCATCACACGTAACAAATAGAAAATTAAACTCTATTCTCAATTAATAAGTCTTAGATTCCATTGGCAAGAATTTGTGACAGGATCTCTCATAAAGACACACCTAATTGTAGTTTTATCTCTTCAGTAATAAAGTCGAGTTTTCTATGTGTTTGCACAGTGAAGGAATGAAAACTCTTTAAGCGACCGATTGGTCTGAATTAAGAAAATAAGCAGTTTTAATTGACAACGATTATTCGAGAACGATTTTCCATTCGAGTATTCGAATCGTCGCTATCTCGAAATTAGTTTTGTTTGCCGGCTCGAGCGTTGTGAATCGAGTTTTGGGTATAATGAGTTTTGTTTAGCCGTTCATTAACGTTTAGAGTTCAGTATTGTTTTTTTTGGTTTACCTTTTTTTAAATGGATAAAAATGAAATGGTAATCGCGCTAACTAAGCCTGCGTGGGGGGAAAGGGATTGTTAGCAATGGAGTTTGACAGCCCCATTGCTAGCAATATGTCTTATTAGGTCGACCTCCACGTGGTTCCCCCAGGAAACCATCGTGAACAATTCTTGTTGAATTCGTCACGATGGGCTAACTGACCTACTTCATCCTCACCTATCATCCTGCACTGGTGCCCCGCTGGTGTGTACCGATAGCGCGGGTGGGGATACCATTCCATTATCATCCATTAAAAATAAACTAAGCCTGCGTTATCAGTATACTCTGGCGGGGCATCAGTGAGGAATCATAGGTGAAAATAAATGCAATTCAGTTGACTCATCATGACGAATTCCACAAGAATTAACTACGATTGTTTCCAGGGAAACCATGTGAAGGACGATCTGATAGGCTGTATTGCTAGTTACAGGACTGTTAGACCCTGTTACTAACAATCCCTTTTCCCCTGTGACTTACCTTTTTAGTATTTATCATTACATTTTTCTTTTTTTTTTAATATTTCTGTTCTAGCTTTTACATGCAACTTTTGGTCTTTATCCACGAGAGAAGGAATCGACCAGAATAGATGTCTTTTTTATGCCAAACAGCTTATAGTTTTTATAAACAAATTAAATATTAACCTAATTAAGTAAATTTCACCTTTTAGATAGATAGATAGATAGATACTCTTTATTGTTTCCTCCAAAAGATTACAATAGTAAACTTATTATAAATATAAATAATTACAAGAAATAATCACAATGAGAAAACAATGGGCGACCTTATCGCTAAGAGCGATCTCTTCCAGCCAACCTTTTTATATAATAAAAGAAAATAAAGAAAAAAGAAAATCACTGGAAACACTGAGTCTATTTAAGTACGACTTCCAAAAAAGTTCTTAATTTGAAGTATTTTCTTTCGTTTTTATATCTTAGGTATATGTAGCTGTACAAGAAAGTTACATCCCTATAAATATCGTAGTACCCTCCAATCGAGTAATATTCTACCGATTCCCCTGACATAAGAAAAACAGACAAATGGTCGGCCCCCAGTCCAACGTCTACCGCGTAACACTCTGCAACGGAGGGAAAGGGATTGTTAGTAATGGAGACTGAGAATCCCATTGCTAGCAATATACCCAACCAGGTCGACCTCCTCGTGGTTCCTCCTGGAAACTATCATGGTTAATTCCTGATGAATTCATAATGATGGGCTAACAGGCCTGTTTTCATTCTCATCTATCACCCTTCACTGGTGATCCGCCAGCGTATCCCGTTAGCGCAGGCGGGGTACCACCAGGGGGGTAGTACCATACCATTTCCACCCATCAAAAAAAAAACACTCTGCAAAGGGTTACTGTTGTGTGCCTATTTACCGTGTGGAGAACTCGTGAACTCCCTGGACATTCCCTATTATCGTTCCCAAGTGTCGCGAAGATGATTGTTTATATAACATATATATATATATATATATATATATATATATATATATATATATATATATATATATATATATATATATATATATATATATATCCATTTTTGTATCTTGAGTAGACCAAAATAGATCAGCGCCATTGTGACATTCACGTGGCGTGGCTTCCTGACACCTGGTGCATCCTGAGCGTGTACCGCAGTCGAGGTGAGTCCGTACCATTTTGAATAACAAACTTCTTTTATGGGACTTAGAACCCGGGCCCAGCTTAGGTCTCATATTACTAGTTTCGCTTCCACTTGTGCTAACAAGTTACTATTTAAATCAGCCAGTTTCCTTAATAGTAGCTTTATTTTAATTTAAAAAAGGAATTCACTTCCATGTTGGTCTCATATTAATTTTATCTATATTAAATTGCTTTTGTGTAACAAAATTTAGATGTTTTGGGACCGTCTTTAAAAAAAACTGAAACATTTAAAGGT